GATTGTCAAACGTGGGCAGGGGTGGTGGTGTTGGTACTGTAGGGGCCTTGATAATTGCCTATAGTATTGTGGGGGTTCCTGATTATGATTATAGTATAGTGGGCCCCAAAACCCCATTCTGATTTTTCCGGCCCCTAAATTAGCGCTTGGAAAGTTCCACTGAGGGCTGGCATCTTGTTGATTGGACATGTTGAGGCCTGCAGCTTGCAAGGGCTTTGCTCAAGCCACGAACCCGAAAACCCGTTTAAGATCTTGTAAGCCGCGCAATCAAGTGCTACAAGGTTCTATACGTAAACCAGACTATAGCAGCCCTTAGGCAGCCTTTTCTTTGACTAGGAATCCCTAAACCCATACGTATATACACCCTACACGCTGAACTCCGTAAACCTTGAACCCTAAACTTGCCCTAAACCACCCAAAACCCTGCACTCCCCAAACCCTAAACCGTTCAAACCGTGCACCCTAAACCCTAAACCCCCAAACCCCTAACCCCTAAACCCTAAACCCCAAACCCCAAAAACCCCTAAACCCTAAACCCTAAACCCCAAACCCCAAAAACCCTAAACCCGGCCGCTGCAGCAGGCCTTTGCTGCGCTTCCAGCGCCGATTCCGGTGACCGAGCTGCCGCTTCGAAGCTTCCACTGCCCTTGCCTTCAGGAAGTAGGTTTTGGGATTTAGGGTTTAGGGTTGAGGGTTTAGGGTTGTGGGTTTAGGGTTCAGGGTTCAGGGTTAAGGGTTGAGGGTTTAGGGTTGAGGGTTCAGGGTTTAGGGTTGAGGGTTTAGGGTTGGGGGTTTCGGGTTTAGGCTTAGGGTATAAGGATCTGGCTAGTCCCCAAGCCCAGTTAGAAAAAGGGTTTGGTATGGGTACATTACAGGTCCACGTGCCCAACTAGTGTGTATGCTTTGGCCCGAAACTGCTTGTATAGGGACTACGTTACGGCCAAAGAATAACATACTATTTGGGCACATTGACCCATGGGTACACAAAGGATCAGGGTTTCAGTGAGTTCGGTTATTAGAAGGTTAGACATACTCATTAGTTTTCATCCCTATCAAGCAAACGTACTTGCACCCCCAGTTACAAAGCTCCTGGACTGTTTCTGGCGATTCTCTTTTTGGTAGAAAACATTTGGTGAAGGGATCGTGGTATGAGTTCTTACTGGGTCGTGCTGTGAGTTTAAATGTTTTCGGTTTTAATGAAGGGTGCTTTTGAAATTTTATTGCGTGTCCATTTGCATTCACATGCTTCTTACGGGGTGCCATGCTAATCAGTAAGATGAGTGTATTAGGGTCTTGGTTGTTCAATGGCTTCCGTTTTCAGGGATGTAGGGAATTCATAGCGGCATTCTGCTGACTTCGCAAGCTTCTTGGTGGCCAGTGCGGTTGCACGGCTACAGCCGCAGTCGCAACCAATGGCGTTCTGCATAATACGATTTGCACTTGACGGCTGGCTGTGGGAGGGTTTTGGGTAGGTCTTTCCTTAAAATGTAAAGCCTACATGCCCTAAACCCTAAATCCTAAACCCTAAACCCTCTGGTGCCCGAGTGTTTTTGGGATTTCAGAATCGATCGGTGTTGCGTTTAGGTCCTACAGTTTCGGGGTTCAGGGACTGAGGGTTCGGGGCCTTGCAGGAACCCTACTTGGAGGATCATGGGACTTAGTAAGTAAGGTTCTAAGTACCCTAATTGGGCTATGAGTATAGTTACCCTCATAATAACCCTATAGTTACTAAGTCCCATGATCCTTTAAGTTACAGGAACCCTCAAGGGAGCACTTAAAAGGAACTTATTCGAACTCTAAAAGCACCCAAAAGTACGCCCGATATCGAGCCGCGGAAGCTTAGGTACGGTACAGGCATTTAGGGGTGTAGGGGTGAGGATTCGAAATTCTGCTTTGGCTTCATTTCATTACTTTGAAAGAAGGATCTCCGACGAACTAGTTTGTTTTGCTTCCTTGCCACAAAAAAGTGTGCAGAATGGCATTCTGAGCCAACCGGCTTAGGGTATGTTATGCCAGAGGTATACGTGGAGCCTAGTACTTTAAACGCTAAATAAGAGACCTGAACCCCTTAAAATGAGAGACCTGAACCCCAGGGCCTTCTTGATGAGGCTCTAGGTTGACACCCGGCCCTCTGCCAGGTGAAGATACGAAAGCTTCGGATAAGTGTTGGGCATAGAGGTGTGATATTCAAAGGATGATGAGCTCACGGCGCTTAACTGATCTGATTTCGGTGTTCGGGCTCGTTTAAGTTGAAGCTCTTATGAATCTATGAAGCAAAACTTTGAGTCCCAAATGAGCAAAGGCCGTAAGCACCAACAATGAAGTTGCCAACTGACACGGCGCTTAACCCCAGACCACTTAAGTGCAAGCGCCCCATACTCAGTACTTTAAATGGTACCCTGCCAGCCCCGGACTCAAAGCAACTTGAAAGCCTGAGCCTTGCAGCCCTCAAGCCATAACCTTCAGGTAACGCTAAAGAGGCCCATGTTCGTGCTGGGACCATCCATCTGTTGCTCCCCCAGCCCGTGCAACGCGTAGGTATCATTAGCTCGAGTGGGCGAGGTTGACACGCCTCGGGTCATTTGTCGGAAGGTTTACAAGGCTGAGGATGTAGAGCTGAATGCGCCAAACAGTAGAAATTTAGGAGATAAGGGTTGCATGTATGCTGTGGAGTGGGCTCAAGATTCAGCATTCCATCAAAGCCTTAAACCCTCGACATTCAAAACCAGTTGGACAAGAATCATCAAACAAGCTCCGGTCAATGAAGTTAGAAGTGCTTAATCCTGAACTCTGAATTCTGAACCCTACACTTTATTGTCCAAAAACACAGCTTCACACCCTAAGCTCTGTTCTTCGGTGTCAAGGGGCTGTATAAGGGTAACCTACAACTTGAGGTTCTCGGAAGGGACACTGCTCACTGCTGGCTAGGGTCTTGATCATGGTGCCCTACTTTCTGTAACACCAAATGACCTGTCGCCCGCGCTTCGCGCCGAGAGAGTTATTTTCTTGGCTGTTTTGGCAAGTTTTCTCTCGGCGGGCCGTGCACCTCGACGAGCAGCAACACATAATATGCTGTTCTCAGGCCTCGGTTTGCGGGTTTAGGGTTTAGTGGACATATATGGGAGTTTCCGAAAATAGGGGGCCCTAACATAGTACCCTAAATAGTAGAATCCTGCTCCCAAAATGAAGTACCCCTAATTTTCGGAAACTCCCATATTCGAAAGGTGTAACCGTTGTACCCTAACCCCTTCGAAATCTGAGAGACTAGACCCTCGTAACCCTTGCCGTCCTCGAGAGCCACGGCAACAGGTTTGATATCACACCCTTATGGAATCGCTGCGGTGTGATGCGGTCTGTCGAGGGTTTGTAACAATAACCTACTTTTCTGTAGGGTTCCTGTAAATCCCATATTTGGTTTTATAATAAGAACCGACAAAAAGGTAGGGCTTGGTAGGTTAAGGTAGTGAGATGTCGATTTTGCTTTTTTGACAGTAAGTTTGGCTCTGACCGACGCACCGAGAGACGACGATTTTAAGGGTGGCTTTCAACAGCTGTGATGTGTGTACGTGCTGCACCGGCATGACCACTTGACTAGTATGTCCTCTGCCCATGACACCGCTGCAATTCGATCTCATTCGGGAGCCCTAAGATGTTCGCTAAAACCGACGTCTTCATCGTCCCTTTTTTTGGTTTGAGCTTTTTGTTGAGCTTTCTGGCGTGCATCATCCACAGCGTCACCCAAAATGGCCATTCGGGCTCACGATTGCCCCGGCAAGCCAACATCCTGCTGCTGCAATTCTAGTACCTTGTCGTACCAGTACTTCTTTTGTGCACTAGCCGACCAGAGGATGAACGAAGCACTTGTTTCTTTTGCGCAGCAGCTTTGGCAGGGACTTGCCAGGAATGGCATTAGTTGTACACATAGACCATACCGCTAAGCATGCCTCCCTGAAGGGCACTGCATGCAAGAGCACCGTGTCACCCACGTAGAAAAGCATGCGGAAGTGCTGCAATGCATAGCCCCTAAACCCCACACCCAACCTCGTAATTCTGAATTTGTTATACCCAAATAGTGCACATGCTACGGACGGGTTTAACAGGCTTGATGAAGGCCACAGGCTGAGTAAGATCAGAAGAAGGTCTAAATTGAGGAGCTTGTGTGCGGCCTTGATGAGGACAGGAGCCTCAATTAGCAACATGTTCTTGTTCGAACCCTTCATAGTACCCGTTACAGTATCCTTTTCTTGCCACCCAGCCATCTCATTTCTGCCTGGTATTCACTCTTTTCATGTGCCAGTGTGGTCTCAACATGCTGGTGTTGCAGACAACAACAGCCTGTGTATCATCTCACTCCTACTTAAAGGATCATGGGACTTAGTAACTAGGGTTATAATAATTAGGGTAACTATACTTATAACCCCAGTTGAGGTGCTTATAGCCTTACTTACTAAGTCCCATGATCCTCCCCTTATAGACCCTTCATAGATCCCTTTAAGGAACCGTATTATAGAACCCTATAGTACCTTAAAAGCGACCCCTAGGCCGGGAGGCAGGCGCGATTTTTGCATCTTGCCGCACTGCTTCATCCCTTAAGCAGTCAATGGCTGAGCTGGTAAAGTCAGCTTGCAAACTGACAGCCCTAAACCCTAACCTAAACCCCTAAACCCCACACCCCAAACCCTAACCGCTAAACCCCTAAAGCCCTAAACCCCTAAACCCCTAAACCCCTAAACCTTTAACACCCCATCACACCTTAGAGTCGGACCCTACAAGAAGCCCTAAACCTTGAGTCTTCCTCAAACCTAAACCCCAACCAATCCCACAGCCTAAAGCGGACGCTGGTTAAGAGGCTCTATGAAAAAGATACTGACAATCCCACGAGAGCCGCCTACTTGTCAAAAAACTCTATACAACCATTGTAATGTAGCGCGCTTCTCAAAGCCTGCAGGTCCCGCCTTATCCGGCACCCTAAACCCTAAACCCTACAGTAAACGGGAACCATGCATGGCCGCTGGGCGCTACCGGAGCCGCTGGTGCAGGTGCTTCGGGATTAAGGGCATCGTGGGGGCAATCCAGGGGTGTGGCGTGCTGGGAAACGCAGAGTTGCGAGGTTTCGGATGGTTCCTGAAGGACCAAATGACCCTTAAAAGTAGGGGCCCTATACCCATATACTATGAATGCTTGTGTGGTATATGAACCTTAATACCCTTTTAGGGTTCATCTCGTCCTTAAGGTTTTAGTGAGTGTACCAGGTGTTTCAGAATAGTGTTATGTTGAAGGTGTTGTGGTAGTCAGAGGGTCGGAGGCAAGCCGAAAAACAGCAGAATCCGAGGAACCCCGGGTTGCAGCGCCTGGCCTTTCAGGGGGAGAGATCTGATATTTGAGGAGACCTCCCCATAATTATAGCCCATACTAGGGGACTCACAACCCCACTTATAAAACTAATACCCATGAACCCCCAAGTACTCGAAGCACTTAGCCATTTTTTTCGGGGTTCAGGGGGCTTCTAATTACATTTCATCTATGGTTTACATAGTGCCGAAGCCATAAGGCCTAAACCTACCCACTGTCAGGACAGCGGAACTTCGGCGAGAATTTCAGAATGCAGGGAATGATTAATCTGGACCCCAAAGTCTCCGCTGGAATGGGTGGACTCTTTCGCCCAAGTTTTCTGAGTTCGGTCCCGGCCCCGGAACCATCAAACGAAGATCTTCCGATGGCTTCCAAGCAATTGACACGGGAAGTTAGCAACATAATAAAGGAGCCCTTAATAATTAGGATAGCGTTTTGGCATATTTAATATTCTACACATAATAAGGAATCCCGCCCAAAATAGTATTGGTAATCATGTAGGACCCTATATTGCCGAACTAAAGGTCTTTTGGAACAATCCTCGCCTTGTCGGATGGAAAAGACCCAAGACGTGTTGCAATGGACGGGGCCGGGTGGAGCTGTGGGTATTTCCCCATCATGGGGGCGGCGCAGCACCCGAAGAATCGAGACGTCGAGGACGCCCTCAACATGTAATAAATGAGGCACATAGTTTGTTTTGGTACTTTTTTTCCTGAAACTGCCACATAGGAGGAGCCGATGTGGAACTACATTGAAGCATGAACGTCAAATGGAGTTGTAAATGAGATTAGAAACAATTCACGGACTCAAATAAAAGCCACAACAGTACTCACGGCAGCTGCCGTGCCCACCTTCACAAAGACGTGTAAGTAGGATTGAAATGCAAGTGCGGTAACTTCAGTTAGAATCCAAAGAACCCCAACTAGGGAACTAACATGCTTGTTGACTTCATCCCCTGACTCTTTACCTAAGCTCTAAAGCCCTGTAAAGGCTCTCTCAGATCCTAAATAGCCTTAAATGAGCCCTTAAAAGAAGCCTCCCAAATAAGAGACCCTTAAACCGAAGCCTTAGAGGAGGTTTTAAAGAGACCCCCCCCCTCAATGGAGCCCTTAAGACGAACTCGTATGGAAGCCTTTATCCAGGAAACGCTGCGCCGATATGCAGACCTTCTCCGAGTCGGCTTGGTCTCCGTCAATGACGAGGCGGTGGGTTTAGGACTTAATGCTGGTTTAATGTCTTAGGGTTTGGGGTTTCAGGTTTGTAAGGGTTTAAAGCTTTAAGGTTTCAGGCTTCGGGGGTTTGGGGTTTGAGGGTTTAGGGGTTGAAGGCTCCAGGTCGTAGAGGTAAGGGATGTAGGGTTTGAAGGTTTCAGTGTTTAGGGGCGGGTTGCACTGGGGGGACACCTCGGGTCAGGGCGGGCTTCGGTTTTGGAGGATTCAGGCATGTTAGTACTTGGAGGATCATGGGACTTGGTGAGTAAGGTTAGAAGTACCTTAATTAATTGGGATTATAAGTATAGTTTTTTTACCCCCATTATAACCCTATAGTTGCTAAGTCCCACGATCCTGTAAGTAAGGTTCAAGCATTCCCCAGAAGGGCTTGCCGGGGTTTAGGGTTTAGGGGCTTTATCACCTTGAGGCCCTAAATGCCGAACCCTCCAATTACTTGAAACCCCCAAAGCTAGACACCTAAACACGCGAAACCCCAAAGCTCCTAAAACTCCTTGGTGCTTAGTAGGGAATGGGGGAATGGATCCCTATAGTAGTCCCTATATTCTCTCAATAATAGTCCCCATAGCCAATGCCTCAATTCCCTACTATGCACCAGGCAGAAGAAGGGTTCATCCCCCAGGCCCTTCGTTTCGTAAAGCTTCAACGCCTGAAGCCTTGAACTTCCACAACCTTGAAGCCCTGAAGCCTTGAACTTCTTAAAGCCTAAGCCCCGATCGAGTGAAGGGACCCCTTGAACTGGGTTTAGGGTGTAGGTAAGTAGCAACATAGAAATCAGACTATGTCCTGACCGTCGCGGCCGGATCTCCAAATAGCAAACCGCACAGCAACCGCAACGCAAACCCCATGGCACCCTGTAATGCCCCTACAAAAAGCGAAGTTGTGAAGCTTTGACAGCAGAACAACGTGCCTTGTTAAATCCCTGAAAATGAAACCCTGAAGCTCTTCACGCAGAGGTAGTGCGGTGGTCCAGCGACACCTCCAAGGAAACTGCAGCTTCCGTTGGGCTTGCGGTTGTCTAAATGAGGCACCTGCATCTTGTACCCGTTCTAGTAGCCCTTATGGGCCTTCAAGAAGGAGCCCCTCGGTGAACCCTGTTCTATGTATTACCTTTAACCCCTAAACCGCGAAAACACCCCTACACCCCTAAACCCTTAACCCCTAAACCCCTCAACCCTGGTTCGTGCTCAAGCCTCAGTAACTGTCGTCATTTCGTGAACTGTCAATGTCTCGAGCTATTCACTTGCGTTATTTGCAGTTTGACTTTGTGCGTGCGCATCAGAAATGAAAGTAGAGCGAATCAGACTTGGGCCATTCGATGGTAGGTTTCAAGCTTGGTGGCAGTCGCGTGGACGCTGCCCAAGTGTCTCGGATACTGCGACTGAAAGTTGCAGTTGGGACAGTGCTGAACAAGACGCAGCGAAAGATCACAAAACAGAGTTTTACTACAACTGGGCAAGAATGAGAAAATGAAGGCGTCTGCTTCGAAGGCTGAAGATATCAACCCGGGAGAACCCGTGTTAGATTGGTGTCAACATCCAGCTTGGATGCGCCTTTGGGCTTACCTGGCGGAACTTGGCACCGAACGTGACAGGTCACTTCCTGGCATCGGACTTTGCGCAGCTGACAATGTCGTTGCACTGACAAGCGCGGTTGATGTAGCGTCCAAAAGAGCTGGAGAGTCACAAACTTTGTCACAGACATGTCGCACGTGCAGGTTGATAGCGGCAACTAACGCTGAGATTCGTGGCATTCTTTGTGAATCAGTCGGTTTGCCAGCCGAAACTGCAAGCTATGTCCACCAGTATGATGTTACACCTGCGCCTATGTCTTTGATGAGTTCGTACCCACTCTATGGTGCCCACAGAAGCGGAGTGCCTGTGCCACCTGGTGGACCGCCACAATTTGTTAGCTCTTCAGACCTTCGCCAGAGATGGACTGCTTGCATAAGCACCAAAATCCCTAAACCCCTGCACCCTCAAGCGCTGAAGCCCTAAACCCTAAACCCCTGGACCCTAAATCCTAGAGCCCCAAACGCTTATCAACGCCCCTACTTAAAGGATCATCGGGCTAAGTAGCTATAGGGTTATAATTAGGGTAACTATACATATATAATCTCAATTAAGGTACTTATATACCAAGACCCATGATCCTCCAAGTATGAACTTGCCTGAATCCTCTAAAACCGAAGCCCGCCCTGACCCGAGGTGTCCCCCCAGTGCAATCCGCCCCCTTAGCACTGAAACCTTCAAACCCTACATCCCTTATCCCTACGACCTGGAGCCCTCAACCCCTAAACCCTCAAACCCTAAACCCCTGAAGCCTGAAACCTTAAAACTTTCACCCCTTAAAAACCTGAAACCCCAAACCCTAAGGCATGAAACCACCATGAAGTCCTTATCCCTTACCCTTAAAGGCCCCTAAGTCCTATGATCCTCCAAGTATTCTGAGCCGAAGGAGCTGCAGCTCCGGAGCTTCTGTGAAGCTTTCGTGGACAAGCTCCGGAGCCTGACATCCGCCTGAACAGGGTTTAGGGGTTTAGGGGTTTAGGGTTTAGGGGTTTAGGGTTTAGGGGTTTAGGGTTTAGGGTTTAGGGGTTTAGGGTTTAGGGCATTGAGGTAGAATAGTTCAGCAAGGGGTTTCTTCAGGGTTCTATCAAGGGCAGTTAAGGGACTTTGGGTTTCGGGGCTTGGACGATTTTGAATGAGGTTCTGTACGCAGAAGGCTGATTTCGCAAAAAGCTATCCCAAACACAGGCGCTTCCAGATCACATGAATCCCTTCAAGCTCAAGAAGGACCAGCTGATCGCAGAGCATGCTGCAAGTCGATGAAATGAGAAGAAAACCCTTAAGGAACCCAAAACTCTTTGTCGAACCCGTTCTCGAGCCCTTTCTCAAACCCATAAGGAACCCCAAACCCTAAACCCCAACAAAAAATCAAAAGAGAACGGCAATGTTCGGAGCCGGAGCCGAGAGCCCTGAGTCAACAGTCAGTGCGGCCAGGGGCGCCAAACAGGTTTCCGTGTGCCGCATGGCACTACTTCGAGGTTCATGGGTAGTTATAAGTGGGGGGTATAAGAAGGGCATAACCATAATTATAACTGGTATTAAGGGACTTACAGCCTAACTTATAACTACCCATGAACCTCCAATCACTGTTTTGTTCTTGCGTCGTCTGGCAATGACGTGTGATTTTGGGAGTTAAAGGGCTCGGAAATCTACATTGGTTGTAGGTGTAGGAGTTTACATCGTGTGGCAGGTAATTTGTGCCGATGTGTAGCAGTGGCCCATACGTTGGAAACTCCCTAGCCTCAATCCTTAAGAGTGATGTATAGGGAATCCCAGCACTACTAATTGTCCTTAATCCGGTTTCCAACTTTGGGGGGTTTAGTATGGAACCCTTATAGATCCCTTATAGTATCCCTTATATAGACCCCTTCAAAGGAACCCCCTTCAAATTATTAAGGACCCTATAGCAAGAGGCTGGTGATTTAGATCGCGGGCCCCAGGGTTCCCAGCTTCAAGTGAGGGTTTTGGTGTCTATAATACTATAACCATAGTAAGGACCCCCCCCACCCACAAAAGTATGGGTACTTTTTTCAGGGAAGAGGATCTTCAACCTGTGTGGATCCTGAGCTTAGGGCACATTCTAACGATCGGACCCCGGTTTGGAGTTAATCTCGCATCCAGCCCGCTATTTTGAAGGTTAGCACCGGCTTGGTGTTGAGATTAGCCCTCCGACGGCGCAGGTGAAAATTACCACGACGGCTTTTTAGGTCATGGGTGTGAGGCTCCTCTTTCAGGCATGCTTGCCTGAAGCGGCAGACCAAAACATTACTGAAAGCCTGTACCCGAACGCGGTGAGCCTCCTGCTGCTGGAAACCCCCATCCCTCGCCCCAGACCCGAAACCCTAAACCCTGTTGTGACGCCAAGCATTGTACTCTCCAACTTCGCAAACCTTGCCGTGAACAATAGGCCCTAAATCCTACTTGGAGGGTCGGGGGACTTAGTAAGTAGGTAGTAAGTAGACTTATAAGTACCCTAAAAGGGACCCTAATTGGGGTTATGGTAGTTATAAGTCCCTAAAATAACCAGTTACTAAGTCCCCCGACCCTCCAAGTAAATCCCAAGAAACCCTAGACCGCACCGCCTCAGCCACAAGGAAAGAGCTGTCACGCCTGGACGATGCCATACTCCGACTCAGCTCCTATTGGGTTTGCAAGGTGGGCGAAGATGTCACGTGTTCAAATGGGAGTTTCCGAAAATTAGGGGTACCTTGTTCTGGGGTCCTTATAATAAAGATCCTACTATTTAAGGTACACTATTTTGGGATCCCCTGTTTTCGGAAACTCCCAAATGGGTTTGGGGTATCCCTACGCCGGGAATCCTGAAAGGATTTAGTGTGCTCCGTTTAGGTCTCACCCGAAGCCGACGGTTCACGGAAGGATAATTTGTAAACCTAAGCCCGTAAATCTCCGACAGCTCTAAACCCATAAACCCTAAACCTAAAGACTAACCCCCCGACCTCTGAAAGACCGAGCCCTGAACCCTTAAAACAGCTACATGGCTTTCCTTTCAAGTCCAGCAACCTAGAAAATCTTGGTCGTAGAGGCTTCGATGAAACCAATATTATGCCACAAGATCTACACGTCTAAAAACAACTTTCGTAAGACTTGGCACACACTGTGCCCGCTCTATGAAGCTGTAAAATACACCCAACAAGTTGACACTAAACTCTGAAACCCTAAGCCCCAAACCCTGAAACACACTCAGTCCCCAAAAAACCTTGTAGCGTTTAACTCCTGGCAGTCCAAACTACTGGTGACCCCTAAGGCTGCAAGGGTTCCTTTAGATGCTTGCACGAGTTTACATAGGCTGTTGCAGAAGCGGGTCTTAACACGGTTAAGCACTACAACTTTTATGGTTTCGCGCAGCTGTAGTATTCCGCCCCAAACTCCAACTCTAATTCTTGAGACCACTCTTCCTGCCTGTCTGGGCAGTTTGTTAACTGGGATCGGCGGAGTGAACAAGTCAGGGTATCAGTTTAAGGGCTTTGGGTTCAGGGTGCTTATGCCTATATACACATAGACACATATGTACATAGACATACAAACATATAACATACATATGAGTGTGTGGATGGGTAGCTTACTCATTGGCCGTCGTCGCTGAGTCCCTGGTCCTCCAAGTATATAGGTAGGCTTGAAGCTTTTGGGTGTTCTGATATGGCCTAAGGGCCCATGTACGTTACATTGACCTAAGAACACATGTAGGCTGGTCCCTTAAGGTCAAGGTAAATACTACACAGTTGCATGGAACTTTCAGAGCTGTTGCAAAACCTTCCAAAAACATTTAGAACACACTTTTGTAAAGCGTACATGGACCTGGAGATACCCGGTCAAACTCAGTTCAAACCAGGGCAATCCTGATTAGAGCGCCTCCGCGCATCAAGGACGGACCATATAATAGAGACCACAACCCATGTGATGATAACTCAGAATTTATGAACAGACATTAATCGGCAGAGTTTATGTCAGGGGTCTTAAGGCCACCCAACCCTGCAAAACCCTGGGAACCCAAGCCTAAGACACGAATTTCGTTCAAGGTCGAGTGCTGGGGTGACGACGCCTCATCCAAGAAATTCCATACATCAACCCGAATTTGGCCCTCCGGCTCCTCGGCGAGACGCTATCAAGGCTCTCGAGGCCTTTGCGGCTGAGAGTGCCCAGAGACTCCAATATCCCTTAATGAAGGAATATTCCTTAAATCATATCAGGGATCCTACGTACGGTGATTTAAGGAATATTCCTTAAGTCATATTAGGGATCCTATTATGATTTCTGGAATATTCCTTAATTAAGGGATATTGGAGTCTCTGGCTGCCTCACAGGCGTAGACGACGCAAGAGCTTGGTCCGAAGGCCTTGGTGGTCAGACTAACAGTCGGCACGATCCCATTACTTAGGGGTACTTAGAAATAATTTTTAATTTTTGGTTATTATAATCCCTAAGAAACAGCTAAAATTATAATTTTTGCCAAGGTTCTAAGTTCAGTATAGATTAAGGGAACTCCAGAAAGTTGGAATATGGATTAATGGTAGGATCCCCTATAGTTTACCTTAAAGGGAGTATGATAATGATATTCCAACTTTCTGGCTTCTACTGTAAGTCCCCCTAGGATGCCCAGTAGTGCCTTTATTGGGGTTACAAGTACTTTGAAGTATAGTTACCTTATTTATCAGGCCCTCTAGTTATAAGGACCCCAAATAAGGTACCAGTAGTACCCTTATTCCCTTTTTGTAGTGCTAGGTTCCTTATAAAGTTACCCGGTATCAAAAAGGGAGCCCTTTTTATTCCTAGGTTACTGGGCATCCCAGCCCTGAACCTCAAAGGACACCCTGTAGAGCCCCTCATCGCCACCCCCTAATAGACCCGCTTCAGCTCCCTAAACCCTAAAGCCCTAAACTTCCTAAGGCCTAAACCCCTAAACTCTAAATCCTAATCCCTAAACACTAATCCCTAAAACCTAAACCCAAAAGCCTAAAGCCGAAACCTCTCTCCCCAGGCCTTCTCCATCAACTACGCGCTCCACGAGGTGCTGACGCTGATCCAGCGACGGGTCGGCATGCCTGGACCTGAGCCATTTACAGGGAAGTTTCCGAAAATTAAGGGTACCTTATTTTGGGGTCCTTATAATAAGGATCCTACTATTTAGGGTACTCTATTAGGGTCCCCTATTTTCGAAAACTCCCACAGAGAGCCAGGTTTTAGGCTTCCCTTACTTGGGGGTTCATGGACAGGTATAAGTGGGTTATACGTCCCCGAATATGGGTTATGATTATTGTTACCCTACTTATAAGCCTACTTACCAAGTACCTCCAAGTACACTTCCTAATTTGTGAGACCGTTCTTACTTGTTCCTATCGTTCCCAGCTGTCTATGTGCACCAACTTTTTTCTTTGGATGTTTTGCCCTCGTCGTACGTGTTTGTCATTCGTTGCACTTTTCGGACATTTGCGGAGTACTTGGAACTTGCTGAAAAGGTGCTCTTCAGTCACACGAACAGGGTGTCCGTTGTTTTGAAATGTGGCTATCGCGTCTTGGAGAGGTTTAGATGTTGTTTAACCTTGTTAAGACTTATTTAGTTTTGCTTAAGTTTCGAAACCCCAATCCACCCGCAAAGCCCTCCATGCTTAAAGCCCACCCAGGAAGCTGAAGAAATCCCTCTGTCAAAACCCTGTTTACAAGCTTTGTGACCCTAATAAAACCCATCACATAAGTTATCCCAACACTCGGCGATCTTAAAATCCTAAAAATGCCCAAATCTGGTAAACTTGAAAAGCTTCCAGATGTCAGACTTTAAATAAACTTAGCTCCTTCTAACACCTTCGAAACTCAATAGTCCTGAAGCTCTAGAAGACCCTCAAATTCCTAATAAATCTCTACTACCCCAAAACACTAAAACCACCTAAAGCTCGGACGTCTCAGGTTTTGCACCATCGAGACACGCGAGGACCAAGGTTCAGCTTTGGTGTCCTACTCCGTGGAGGCCGTTGAGGGTTTGCGGTTCCAGGTTTTAGGGTTTACCCTAGGGCTCCATAGTAGTTCCTTGTTGGGATTCATATTTCGAATCCTATAAGGTAATCCCCAAAAGGAACTACTATGGAGCCTCTAGGTAATACTTGGAGGATCATGGGACTTGGTAAGTAATGTTATAAGTACCTTAATTGGAATTATGAGTGTAGTGGTCCTAACTATAACCTTAGTTACTAAGTCCCATGATCCTTTATGTAGGGTCTACCTACACCCCAACGGCCCAACACCGTTTCAAGGCTATTGTACTCCATACTTTTGGAGGTCCAGGTAGGGTTTAGTGTTGAGATGCCTACTCTGTGAAGGCCATCGGGTTTCACTTCTTATGCGAATGGTGCTTTATGGGGCGTAGGGTTTAAGGATACTTGGAGGTGCATGGGTAGTTATCAGTACAAGTAGCGTAACCACAATATTAAGGGTTTTCTTATAGCTACCCATGAACCTCCAAGAGTTGGGACCATTGGCTCGATGTTCTTGTTGTTTGAGGGTTCGGGGCGATGTCAGTGCACCGGGGTCTTCACCGATTTATTAGGCATGATCGTTGCAGTGTCTTTTCCTATAGGCTGCCCATAGACAGCGGATCCTACCCACGGCCCGAGGATGACAAATCGCATCGCAAAGCACCCCTGTAGGTAGTTTCAGAACAAGCAGGGCCTCCCCGTTACAGTAGGTTTTTTTGCAAGGATGCTACTATAGAGGGTTATACGTCGTTAGGATCGCGTTGGTTGAAACTCCCTTATTTTTCGACCGAACCTTGTGTCGACCTTCCTCGCACAAAATACTATATAGAGGATGATGGGGCTGAGTAGGTGCGTGGTGGGCGCATCAATTGGATTTATGAGTTATGATAAATATAGTTTTCTTGCTTCTGATGGTTGCTTGCCAGGCCCCGCGATCCTTTGAGTAGGGACCTACACACACTCTGAACCCCAACAAGCAAACCCCAAGCTCAACCCCTGAATCAAGGCCCAACCCTCGACCCTTCATTCCGCAACCCTTCAACCCAAAAACTTAAATCAGCATTCAAAAGCCGACATAATCATGCAAATGTCTGAACCCTAAGGCCTGGACTGATCAAAGCCTAATGCCCTAAGGCCTAAAGCTGTATAGCATCCTTAAAGAACCCAAAACACAGAAACAAACTCATTAACGATCATTGTCAAAGCGTGAAGAACTTTGATCAACCTCTGAAACGCCGTCCAAAATCCTAGACCTAAACCTTATAATTCCGAAACCCTACTTGGCCTTCCCCTATAATCCCGAAACACTACTTGGCCTTCCTTTTCGACGAGCACCTCGCGAGTTGGAAAAGATGCGATTTAAACCAAAATAATCCCGAAACCCTTACCTCGAACCCTGAGCCCCTGGCAGGCAAAATCATCACACCGACTCGCCGTCAGAATGCGGTGGCGCGGCAAGGCGGACTTCCTCAAACCCTAAACCCTTAAAGCCTAACAACTTTGGCCGCCATGGAAGTGTTTAGGGTTCAGGGTTCGGCTTATAGTTGGTGAGGATGAGTTGGTTGCTGGGTTAAGGGGGTTTCTGTCTTCGTTGGGGTCTGCTTGGTTCGATGCGTTCTGTATGACAGAATATGTACGTATGTATTTATGAATGAATGAATGAATGAATATATGGACGTATGTATCTATGTAGCTATGGATGCATGCAAAGAAGTTCTTTATATGCGAACACACACATACACACACCCACACATAGCTCCAGGGCTTGTGTGTAAGGGCTCTATCTGCTGTTGCATGTTTCGGCCTGATAGCGGGCTTGATGATGCGGCTGTTTGGCTCAACAAGGATTGGTGCCTGAGGCCACTACATCGCGAGGTGACTTCCGACCCCTTTCAATTCTAAGCCATGCGCGAGGCCATCTGCATCCACATCGGTCAGGCCCGCTGCTCTTGTCGTGTGCCGGGACTTTTGCAGTCTTAGAGTGCTGAAACTCAACCGCTCGATCCCCGTGAACGCCCGCATGTTTCCGAAAGTTTGAACTTAAACAAGTTTACAATTTTGTAAGTATAGTATAATGGGCCTCAAGACCCTCTTCTAAGGATTTAGGCCTCTATGTTACGGTCGTGCGACCATAAACCCTCAGGGCGGCGTGCAGATCGGAAATGCTTGCTGGGAGCTCTTCTGCCTCGAGCACGGCATCCAGCCTGATGGCCAGATGCCCTCCGACAAGACGATCCTGCGACGGCATTAAACGCTAAACCCTACACCCTTAAACCCCAAACCATGAGGCTTTAGAGGGAGGGTTGTGCTGTTCACTTCTCTGTCCGGGCAGGCTGTGTCCTTGGTTCTTCTAAAGGGGTCTATACTTGGAGGTTCATGGGTAGTTATAAGTGGGGTTATAAGTGGGGTAACCAGAATTACAACCCATATGAGAGGACTTACAACCTCACTTATAACTACCCATGAACCTCCAAGTAGGGGTACATGTCGAATGCGAGGGGTAATCGCGCTAAGTTGCGGATGAAATGCCAAGCCCAATGGACCCGGATATTGGGGGGGGGGGTCCTTATTATACGTAGTTATAATTATAGTATAATAGGCCCCAACACACTGTTCTAATTATTAAGGCCCCTATATTTATCCCATAAAGGGCCATAAAGGGGGAGTCTTCCTTAAATCGGACGATGAAGCCTTGCAGAGTTTGGGTACTTCGGGGTCTCTGGAATCTCAGGATCGGCGGAGGAGATGCATCTTTGCCGCACTCGAAGCCGACATGGTGTCGTAGAGCACGGAGGTTGAACTTTGCACATGTTCGTGACTAAATATAGCTTTTGTCATCCTCGTCATCGTCTTCGTCCTTTTCATAGTCGTTGCCATGGTAGCTGGCGGTTCTTCATGTTGGTTCTACCCGTCTTGCTGGTGTTGATTTTCGCGTGCTTCAGTCAATCTGATGTCGCCGTTGTTCATGTGTTTGTGATCTGTTGTTTTGCTGTCATGGATTGACGGTTTTGCTATTCTGGCTATGCTCAGGGCTGACACCCTCTCTGGCGGATTACGTGTACTTCTTTTTGCCTGATTATCCAGGTTGTTCTGCTTTGTCGCTTCATCTTGGCAAGGTGTTGATGTTGCGGTGTGCATCCATCCATCCATGTGGCTGGTTGTCAAAATTTTGGTCCCTTCTTGGGCACCCTAAATAATTTCGACAACCACCCATATGGGGAGCTTAATGATTAGAATAGGGTTTTTGGGTCCCATTATACTATACTTGTAAATAAGGAACCTCCATATGGGAGTTTCCGAAAAGTAGGGTACCCTTTTTTGGGGTCCTTATAATGAGGATCCTACCATTTCGGGCCCACATAGGCGGCAGGACTTCTACCATTGGCAGATAGGGAGCTCCCTCTCCGTCGGTCTTATCAGAGGTTTGCTTGTGACTGATATTGTCTTGGTCATATATATATATATATATATAGAGTCATATAGTGGACAAATGCAAGCACAATACTTCCGGCAACATATCTGATTTGGAAATGACAGGTTTTTTGAAGGAACTCCGCACGGGAACTAGGTTTCAAGATTAGTTATCCTATCAGGTTATTAAATCTCAGTCCAAGCAAGTCGAATACATGCAGAAACAGACCTGTGTTCGCGAAATCCCAAAGCTGTTTAAGAAGCCCTGGGAATCAGCAAAGATTGACCTGTGGACTCTAAACGATCCCGATGAGAGTATATTGGGTGTCCAAGCATACTGAAAGGATCATGGGACTTAGTACCAAGGGTTATCATGAGAGTAACTAGACTTATGACCCCAATTAAGTCTCTTATTCCTTGGCTTACTAAGTCCCATGATCCTCCAAGTATGCTGCGGCTCTATGGGGCCGTCTTACAAACAAATTCCTGGAGGTGCTTACGAAGGGGTCTTTCTTTTTCACTATTCCAGCTGAAGGGGGATCCCATCGAACACGACGTGCGTGCAGATTTCGGTGTACTACGCGCTTTTGCAGAGCGGTCAGTGGGAATTCGAGCTCCCTGGGTCTTCAAGACAAAATGCACTTTAATGTCAGAGAGTGTATACGTAGGAAGGGGGAGCTTGTGCAGTATATCTTCCAAACCAATAGACATGAACAAGGTGTCATATCTAGGATCTCCATGAGAATCCAAATCCTGTTGGAATGTGTAGTGTCGCATACAATTACAATCCATATTTGAGTTTAAGCGGTGATATGATACAGGGGCTTTGTAAGCAAAACGATACGACATGGGGACACTCTTCCTGCAAAATTTAAGGAGTCGGAAGATACCACCGTCAATTATGTTGGTTGGGTGCGTTTACGGAACAAGCTGTCATGTAAAAGCTATGCAGACATGCGCATGGTAACGTAGTTTATAAGATAGGCATGCACCCGCACAACATTCAGGCTCAAAGTTAAGATGCCAAGTTGGCCCTGAACAGTAGCAGTAGACAACTGCAAGTTTGGTTTGCTCAGATTGTAGGATTGATTTGCATAAGAGTTACATACTTGTTGACGTGCGACTTCCATGAACAATGCAGGTTAAGATTAAATAGTTGAACGAAATACGGTACACAGACATGCACAAAGAAATGGGCCAACTCTATCATATGTGGTGGTATGCTCAGACTATATCTTCTGAATTCAGTGGCCGCATACTCTATACTCTTGTGGCATGGATACACATGTTCCTTAATCAACCAGTTGTTATCCACAAAGTGAATCCTACTCATGCTTTCGAACGAAGGCTGCAAAATGCTTCAAGGAAAAAACCGTAGTATTTTGAATGATGGAGACCTTTTCAATACGAGTTGGTTTGGAGCTGAGTGCATGTGTAGGTGTGACAGTACCCTTCTATTTCAAGCGCAATTTCGCTCTCAATATGTGAAAATATTGCAAACATGGGGATCTCAGGGCATCTCGTCGTCTGTCTAAAATTACAAGAGACTGGTATGCCGCGAGAGCACACCATATTGCTATAAACCGGGTCACTGGTATTACCTTTTCCATATTGTAAACAAGGGGTCTCAAGCGTTCCACCCTCTAGAAAAGAGACCTGTTACGCCGCCAGAGCGCACCATACTGCTATATACAAGATGACTGGTATTACCTTTTCATCGCCGAACATTATGATTATTTGATATGTGGGTGGGCGGCTTGATAATAACGACTAGCAGCTGTGTTGTATATCCAGTCTGTTCTCGTCTGTGTCATTTGTGCTGCTTTGTTGTCCAGCACGAAAGGTGTTTCACGAAAGCCAGATTCCAGACACACACCTTCGCAGATGAACGGCATCCCAATCATAGACCCCCTTCAGGACGCCTTCAATACCTTTTTCAGTGAGACGGGCGCTGGCAAGCACGTGCCCCGCTGCGTGATGGCGGCTTGATTGCGATTCTTGATGCAGTCCCTGTTGCATGCAAGCAACATGCAAGTCCGTCAAGACTGTGTCAGCGCGACAAAATTTACATCAAAATAATAACACCGAGGTCGACTTGGAACCGACCGTCGTGGATGAGGTTCGCACAGGCACATATCGTCAGCTTTTCCATCCGGAGCAGCTCATTTCTGGAAAAGAAGTTGCTCGGCTTTCTTATCAACGCATTGCGGGTGGTTTCGCTTGCCTGAAGACACGATCGGCCGGCAAGTTAAGTTTGTTTGAAATCGTCAATGCATATGGCAAAGGATGCGGCAAATAATTTCGCTCGTGGGCATTATACGATCGGCAAAGAGATTGTGGACCTGGTCTTGGACCGCATCAGAAAGCTGCTCAGTTTTACAGCACCAGTCCTTCCAGTTTTGGGGCTGTTTTTACTTAGTAACTTAGTACTGCTATGAGAGTTTACCTCGTATTTTTTTTGTTTTTGTGTTTTTTGTTTGGGCAAGTAAGGCTGGCTGACAACTGCAGCTTGGAGCATGATTGGTTTCTTTGACGTTCGTGTGTTCATACTCGGTTAGCCCTTTCTCTCGAGCACCACAAGCGTCCCAAACCCTAAAACCTGCTAGGAGATAAACTCAAATCCCAATCAGTTAAAACCCAAACCCTAAACCCCTAAAGCCCCAAACCCTAATCCCTAAACCGCCCTAAACCCTAAACCCCTAAACCCCTAAAGCCCCAAACCCCGAACATTTTGGCCCCGTCACTGCAGGCACCGGACTCCAAGGGTTTTGCGTCTACAACGCGCCGAGCTGGCAAAGTGGGAGAGTTTGTTCTTGTCTTCATTTTTCCTGTTATGGTCTTATCCCTAAAACCTAGTACCTCCTAGACTGTTATGGTCTTATCCCTAAAACCTAGTACCTCCTAGACTGTTATGGTCTTGTCCCAAAACCTAGTACCTCCTAGATTGTTATGGTCTTATCCCAAAACCTAGTACCTCCTAGTCCTAGATCCGAAATTTCCTAAATCTCGAAGCCCTCAACTCCTGCAACAAGACTGGAACAGGCATGCGGCGGAGGAACAGGATCTGGCCTCGGATGTCTCATGCTCGAAAGGCTGTCTGGGCTGTGAGAACCGGCGTCGATTCTGAGTCTTTGGGGTTTGACGGGCGGAGGTTTATGGTTCTCTACACTGTCGTAGTAGAAGGGTTTTCAGGGTTGAATACATGTTCTTCTGCGACTTCAACGAGCAGTTGTGCCTAAACCCTAAACTCTAAACCTCGGCAGGCTTTCCGTGGATTACGGCAAGAAGAGCAAGATCTCCTTCACGGTGTGGTGCTGCCCTCAGGTGGCGACTGCCGTGGTCGAGCCCTACAACACTGTCTTGTGCGTGCATTCCCTACTTGAGCACACGGATGTGACCATCATGCACCTCGGATGTTTTTTTCCGAGAGAGCTTGCAATTCAGTTTTATTTGGAAGTACACTTTGAAAAGACGACATGGAGGATGCACAACCAACCAAGGTACGACAACGAGGCTTTGTATGATATTTGCCGCCGGAAGCTTGTTGTGGTTAAGGTTGCACTCCGCAGTGTGTGCGTGTGTGGGTGGGTGTCTGCCACCAGAGAGCATATGCATGCAAACGACTTTGCACGCAGCATGGTCTAGGAACTTGGACATTGAGCGACCTACGTACACCAACCTGAACCGCCTCATCGCACAGATTATCTCAAGCTTGACCGCATCGCTGCGCTTTGACGGAGCCTTGAATGTGGATATCACGGAGTTCCAGACTAATCTGGTCCCATACCCACGCATCCACTTCATGCTGACGTCCTATGCTCCGGTGATTTCGGCTGAGAAGGCCTAAGCTCTTGTTATCAGAAATAGACAGATACATAAGCACATACATTCAAACACACGCACACATATGTATAAAGACAGACAGACAGACAGACAGGCAGGCAGACAGACAGACAGACATATTTACATACATAGCTGCGGGACATCTGTACACACATACGTACATACATACCTGCATGTACTGCATGCATGCATCCATACATACACGCATACATACACACATACGTACAGACATAGATACACACATACATACATGCGCATTCATACATGCATACATACGCATTTTTCGTACACATATATGTGTGTGTATATAATATACACACACATGTAAAGTAATTTCCTTGAACCCGAAAATTGCGCCAAAAGGCTTACCATGAGCAGCTGTCCGTGGCGGAGATCACCATGTCTGTGTTCGAACCGGCCTCGATGATGGTCAAGTGTGATCCACGCCATGGAAACTTGGTGGAGGTTCCAGCTAGGGTTTTGGATTTAGGGGTTTAGGGGTTATGCCAGGGTCAGCTTTTCGGGTTTCCGGGATTTAGGGCCTTTATGGGTGTTTTGTTGTTTCTGTTTCGCGGCTGAGTGTGCCGCTTTGGCGAGTTTGGCGCGCCTTCTCCAGGCGAATAGTGCTACAGGTCAAGTATGGGGCAGTGTAGAGAGCTGCAGCCGAGGCAAATACATGGCCTGCTGCATGATGTACCGTGCTGCGCTCAGAATGATGCAGGCAGAGGTCAACAATTTGAGAGTGTCGGCATGTCGGGAATGATGCCGTGTTCGAGTTATTTGTCTCAGGTGGCGATGTCGTGCCAAAGGACGTAAACGCAGCAGTGGCCACCATTAAGACCAAGCGCACCATCCAGTTTGTGGACTGGTGCCCCACTGGCTTCAAGTGCGGCATCAACTACCAGCCGCCCACGGTTGTGCCCGGTGGTGATCTGGCGAAGGTCATGCGCGCCTGCTGCATGCTCCCAGACACAACTGTGTTCAGAGAAGCTTGAAACCCGAAACTCTATCAACCCTAAGAGCGATAGACCCAGAACTTGCAAAAACGGGCTTGGTCGGGGTTTTTGAGCTGAGTCTTCAGCTATCCGGCATGCTGCGATAGTAAAAGTCTTACAGCCTTAACCGTTCAAGCCCCAAACCCCAGCAACTCGAAACCCTAAATTCCGAGACCCTGAAGCCTTGTCCTTCTTGAGGATCTCCAACAGCACAGCTATTGCCGAAGTCTTCTCACGCATCGATCACAAGTTCGACCTGATGTACTCCAAGCGCGCCTTCGTCCACCACTACGTCGGAGAGGGTATCTGGGCGGTGCAGCAGATTACTGCTTCTTCTTCATCGCATTTTTGGGTTCCTTGATAGTCGCTAGGAGCCTAGAGGCCCTTTAGTCACCTCGTGACCCAGGTATGGAAGAGGGCGAGTTCTCTGAAGCTCGCGAAGATTTGGCGGCTTTGGAGAAGGCCGACACGAAGCGAAGTTACAGACCTGAATGGTAGAGCTGCTGCAAAGCCCCCAAGCAAAGCAAGTGCCCCTTTCGTCTAGAGCTGTTTCTTGGTGAGATATGGGTGGTTGTCAACATTAGGGTCCCTGTTCGGGTCCTTATTATAATACGGCACCTAATATTTAGGGTGCCCAAAAAGGGACCCTAATTTTGACAACTACCCATGTGTGAGTCCATTGCGAAACAGCACGCCTTGTCCTTGTGTATTATTGAACCCAGAAGTCTCTACTTGGGAAGTAAGGTTTAGGGTCTCTTTTTAGGGTACTATAGGGTTCTATAGTAGGGTTCCTTAAAGGGATCTAATAAGGGGTCTATAATGGGAGGATCATGGGACTTAGTAAGTAAGGTTATAAGTACCTTAATTGGGGTTATATGTATAGACCCTAGTTATAACCCTAGTTACTAAGTCCCATGATCCTTTAAGTAGTACGTGCAAGCATGGCATGGCAGGACTACGAAGAGGTTGGCATCGAAACAGCGGAGGGCGAAGGGGAGGAAGAAGGTTACGGTGATGAGTTCTGAGAGCCTCTGTGCCCAAGCCCAAGGATCAGGATTCTGACAGATATAAATGTTTTGGGGGGGGTTCTTACACTTCTATGTTGGGTCATCTCACCGGCATGGTCCTTGGGCAGTGCATGATGCCGAGTGTTACGTGACGGGTAGAAATGATACCTGTTGCAGTCCACGCTCGGCATGTTCACTGAAAGCGATCACACTCCAGCAAGAAAAAGGCTTCGTAATATGGGGGGCCTAAATATTTACCTCATACTAGTTTGGGGGTTCCTTATTATAATCATAGTTAATATGCCCCCAAAACCCTATTCGAGTTCTCAAGGCTCCCCTACTAAACCCTAAAAGTAACCCTGATAGTAATCCAAAGGAACCCTTTTAAGGGGCCCCTCGTCTAATTCTTAAAGCCCATAAGGGATCTATAGGGGTACCTTTAAGGGGCTCCTTTAAGGTTTAGGGTTTAGGGTTTAGTAATAAGATAGGGCGGTTGCAGGAGCCGCGTGTTTGCACGCCGTCCGAGAGATTCAGACCACTACTCGGAGGATCATGGGACTTAGTAAGTAAGGTTGAGGGTTCCTTTGTGGGGTACTATAGGGTTCTATAATAGGGTTCCTTAAAGGGACCTAGAAGGGGTTTATAATGGGAAGATCATGGGACTTAGTAAGTAAGGTTATAAGCACCTTAGTTGGGGTTATAATCATAGTTACCCCAATTAAAACCCTAGTTACTAAGTCCCATGATCCTTTAAGTACTCGCAAGGTGCCCCACATCCCAAGCTGGCCCTGAACGCTTGCACTGCAAAGCCACTTTGTTTCTGCTACTGCCACATGCGTTGTGGCGCAGTTATGTTTTTGTTTGTGCTACTTCCACACGCGTTGGAGCTTCTCTGAGCATAGTTGCTCTTAGAGTCTAGTGGGTTCATACTTACTACGGTACCATACCTTGTTGTGGATACCTATGGAGCTCAAAAACCGCTGCACAGTAGAACCCGACACAACTCGCAACCCTGCATTATGAAAACCCTACAGCCCCAAGCGCCTCAGAAACACTGGGAACCCCAAAGCCCCCAAAAGTCTGGTGTGACGACCCCTGTAACACCCTCCAGCCTACAACCCTAAACCCTAAACCCCACACCCTAAGAACCCCCAAAATTAGGGCCAAACAAGGCGCTGACAAAGCCCTTGGTAAAACATTCGATGGGAGTTTCCGAAAATAGGGGACCCTTAACTAGTAGGATCCTTATTATACCTTAAACCCTGAAACTTTTAAACCCTAAACCCTAGCAACTTCGGCTGCCATTGAAGTGTTTAGGGTTCAGGGTTCGGTTTAGTTGTTGGTTAGGATTAGTTGATTGTTGGGTTAAGGGGTTTCTGTTTTCGTTGGGGCCTGCTCGGTTCGATGCGTTCTGTATGACAGAATATGTTCGTATTTATGTATGTATGTATGAATATATATATATATATATGGACGTGTGTATCTGTGTAGCTATGCATGCATGCAAAGAAGTTCTTTATATGTAAACACACACGCACACACATAGCTCCAGGGCTCGTGTGTAAGGGCTCGATCTGCTATTGCATGTTTCAGATTTATAGCGTGCTTGATGATGCGGCTGCTTGGCTCAACAAGGATTGGTGCCTGAGGCCACTACATCACGAGGTGACTTCCGACCCCTTTCAATTCTAAGCCATGCGTGAGGCCATCTGCATCCACATCGGTCAGGCCCGATGCTCTTGTCGTGTGCCGGGACGTTTGCAGTCTCAGAGTCTGAGGCCACTCGATCACGAGACGATCCCGTGAACGCCCGCACGTTTCCTAAAGTTTGAACATTGCACTTGCGAAACAGTATAAGGGCTTGAATAATTACCAATCCTATCTTGGGGAATTCCTCATTATAAGTATAGTATTATGGGCCCCCAAACCCTCTTCTAAATATTTAGGCCTCTACATGACGGTCGTGCGACCCTAAACCCTCAGGGCGGCGTGCAGATCGGAAATGCTTGCTGGGAGCTCTTCTGCCTCGAGCACGGCATCCAGCCTGATGGCCAGATGCCCTCCGACAAGACGATCCTTCGACGGCATTAAACGCTAAACCCTAAACCCTACACCCTAAACCCTAAACCCTTAAACCCTAAACCCTAAACCCTGCACCATGAGGCTTCAGAGGGAGGGTTGTGTTGTTCAGTTCTCTATCCGACCAGGCTGCTTCCTTGGTTCTTCTATAGAGGTCTATACTTGGAGGTTCATGGCTAGTTAGAAGTGGGGTAACCAGAATTATAACCCTTTTGAGGGGACTTATAACCCCACTTCTAACTACCCATGAACCTCCAAGTTGGCCTACATGTCGAATGCGAAGGGTCATCGCGCTAAGTTGCGGATGAAATGCCAAGCCCAACAGACCCGGATATTCGGGGTTCTCCTATTACGGTCAAAATTATGGTATAATAGGCCCCAACACGCTATTCTAATAATTAAAGGCCCCTGTATTATCCCATCAAGGGCCATAAAGGGGATTTTGCCTTTTCTTCCTTGAATCGGACGATGAAGCCTTGCACAGTTTGGGTACTCCGGGGTCTCTGGAATCTCAGGATCGGCGGAGGAGATGCATCTTTGCCGCATTCGAAGACGACAAAGTGTCGTAGAGCACGCAGGTTGAACTTTGCACATGTTCGTGACTAAATATAGCTTTTGATCGTCTTCGTCCTCTTCATAGTCGTTGCCATGGTAGCTGACGGTTCTTGATGGTGGTTCTACCCGTATTGCTGTTGTTGATTTTTTCGTGCTTCAATGAATCTGATGTCGCTGTTGTTCATGTGTTTGTTATCTGTTGTTTTGCAGACATGGATTGACGGTTTTGCTGTTCTGGCTATGTTTAGGGCTGAGACCCTCTCTGGCGGATTACGTGTACTTCTTTTTCCTCATTATCCAAGTTGTTCTGCTTTTGTCGCTTCATCTTGGCAAGGTGTTGATGTTGCGGTATGCATCCATCCATGTGGGTGGTTGTCAAAACCTTGGTCCCTTCTTGGGCATTCTACATAATAGATGCTGTAGTAAAATAGAGACCCAAAGAGGGACCATAATTTCGACAACCAACCATGTGTGCCACATAGGCGGCAGGACTTCTATAGCGAGCTCCACCTCCGTCTGTCTTATTAGAGGTTTGGTTGTGATTGATATTGTCCTAACCATATAGTCATACAGTGGACAAACGAAAGCACAATACTTCTGGTAACATATCTGATCTGAAAATGGCCGTTTTTAGAAGGAAATCCGCACGTGAACTAGGTTTCAAGATTAGTTCTCCTATCAGATTTTCAATTCACAGTCCACGCAAGTCGAATACATGTAGAAACAGACTTTTGCTCGCGAAATACCAAAGTTGTTTAAGAAGCCCTGGGAATGAGCAAAGTTTGACCTGTGGACTCTAAGCGATCCCAGTGAGGGTATATTGGGTGTCCAAGCAAACTTAAAGGATTATGGGACTTAGTACCATTGGTTATCATGAGGGCAACTAGACTTATGACCCCAATTAAGGCTCTTATTCCTTGGCTTACTAAGTCCTATGATCCTCCCATTATAGACCCCCAATAGATCGCTTTAAGGAACCCTACAGAGCCCTATAGTACCCTAAAAAGTATGCTGCGGCTCTATGGGGCCGTCTTACAAACAAATTCCTGAAGGGGCTTACGAAGGGGTGATTCTTTTTCACTATTCCAGCTGAAGGGGGATCCCATCGAAGACGACGTGTGTGCAGATTTAGGTGTACTACGCGCTCTTGGAGAGCAGTCAGTGGGAATTCAAGCTCCCTGGGTCTTCAAGACAAAATTTATAGGAAGGGTGAGCTTGTGCAGCACATCTTCCAAACCAATAGACATGAAAAAGATATCATATTTAGGATCGCGATGAGAACCCAAATCCTGTTGGAATGTGTAGTGTCACATACAATTACAACCCATACTTGAGTGATGTGATACAGGGGCTTTGCAAGCAACACGGTACGACATGGGGACACTCTTCCTCCAGAAATCAAGGAGTCGGAAGATACCACCGTCCCTTATGTTGGTTGGGTGCGTTTACGGAACAAGCTGTCATGTAGAAGCTATGCAGACATGCGCATGGTAATGTAGTTTATATGATAGGCATGCACCCACACAACATTCAGGTTCGAAGTTAAGATGCCAAGTTGGCCCTGAACAGTAACAGTAGAAAACTGCAAGTTTGGTTTGCCCAGATTTTAGGATTGATTTGCGTAAGAGGTACATACTTGTTGACGTGCGACTACCGTAAACGATGCAGTTCACAAGATTACCTAAACAGTTGAACGAAATACGGTACACAGACATGCACAAAGACATGGGCCAAATCTATCATGTGTGGCGGTGTGCTCAGACCATATCTTCTGAATTCGGTGTCCGCAGTCTCTATACTCTTGTGGCATGGATACACATGTTCCTTAATCCACAACGTGAAATCCTACTCATGCTTTCGAACGAAGGCTGCAAAATGCTTGAAAGGAAAAAGACCTAGTATGTGGAATGATGGAAACCTTTTCAATACGAGTTGGTTTGGAGCTGAGTGCATGTGCAGGTGTGACAGTACCCTTCTATTTCAAGCGCAATTTTGCTCTCAAAATATACGCAAAATTGTAAAAATGGGGACCTCAGGGCGTTTCACCCTCTATAAAAGGGACTGGTACGCCGCGAGAGCGCACCGTACTGTTTTAAAAAGAGACGGGACTTCCAGAGGTCCAGAGGGCCTTCCGAAGCATACAAAGCAACCCTGAACGACAAGTACCGAACAAGTAGTGCAAAAAGTGCAAAACACTGGGTGTGCCAAAACCCAGGCCCCATGACGGTCCCTTCTGTTTAAAACGGGCCACTGGTACTAGCTTTGCCATATTGTAAACATGGGGGCCTCAGGGCAGCGCACCATACTGCTACAAAAAGGGTTACTGGTACTACCTTTTCTTCGCCGAGCATCATAATCTAGGCTAGTAATTCTTTGATATGTGGGTGGGCGCCTTGATAATAACGACTAGCAACTGCGTTGTATATCCAGTCTGTTCTCGTCTGTGTCATTTTTCGTGCTGATTTGTTGTCCAGCAGGAAAGGTGCTTCACGAAAGCCAGATTCCAGATATACACCTTCTTCAGGACGCCTTCAATACCTTTTTCAGTGAGACGGGTGCTGGCAAGCACGTGCCCCGCTGCGTGATGGCGGCTTGATTGCGATTCTTGATGCAGCCCCTGTTGCATGCAAGCAACATGCAAGTCCGTCAAGACTGTGTCAGCGCGACAAAAGTCTTGCGCATTTACATCAAAATAATAACACCGAGGTCGACTTGGAACCGACCGTCGTGGATGAGGTTCGCACAGGCACATATCGTCAGCTTTTCCATCCGGAGCAGCTCATTTCTGGAAAAGAAGTTGCTCGGCTTTCTTATCAACGCATTGCGGGTGGTTTCGCTTGCCTGAAGACACGATCGGCCGGCAAGTTAAGTTTGTTTGAAATCGTCAATGCATATGGCAAAGGATGCGGCAAATAATTTCGCTCGTGGGCATTATACGATCGGCAAAGAGATTGTGGACCTGGTCTTGGACCGCATCAGAAAGCTGCTCAGTTTTACAGCACCAGTCCTTTCAGTTTTGGGGCTGTTTTTACTTAGTACTGCGATGAGAGTTTAACTCGTGATGTTTTTGTGTTTTGGACAAGTAAGGCTGGCTGACAACTGCAGCTTGGAGGATGATTGGTCTCTTTGACGTTCGTGTGTTCATACTCGGTTAGCCATTTCTCTCGAGCACCACAAGCGTCCCAAACCCTAAAAACTGCTAGGAGATAAACTCAAATCCCAATCAGTTAAAACCCAAACCCTAAACCCCTAAAGCCCCAAACCCTAATCCCTAAACCGCCCTAAACCCTAAACCCCTAAACCCCTAAAACCCCAACCCCGAACATTTTGGCCCCGTCACTGCAGGCACCGGACTCCAAGGGTTTTGCGTCTACAACGCGCCGAGCTGGCAAAGTGGGAGAGTTTGTTCTTGTCTTCATTTTTCCTGTTATGGTCTTATCCTAAAACCTAGTACCTCCTAGACTGTTATGGTCTTATCCCAAAACCTAGTACCTCCTAGATTGTTATGGTCTTATCCCAAAACCTAGTACCTCCTGGATCCGAAATTTCCTAAATCTCGAAGCCCTCAACTCCTGCAACAAGACTGGAACAGGCATGCGGCGGAGGAACAGGATCTGGCCTCGGATGTCTCATGCTCGAAAGGCTGTCTGGGCTGTGAGAACCGGCGTCGATTCTGAGTCTTTGGGGTTTGACGGGCGGAGGTTTATGATTCTCTACACTGTCGTAGTAGAAGGGTTTTCAGGGTTGAATACATGTTCTTCTGCGACTTCAACGAGCAGTTGTGCCTAAACCCTAAACTCTAAACCTCGGCAGGCTTTCCGTGGATTACGGCAAGAAGAGCAAGATCTCCTTCACGGTGTGGTGCTGCCCTCAGGTGGCGACTGCCGTGGTCGAGCCCTACAACACTGTCTTGTGCGTGCATTCCCTACTTGAGCACACGGATGTGACCATCATGCACCTCGGATGTTTTTTTCCGAGAGAGCTTGCAATTCAGTTTTATTTGGAAGTACACTTTGAAAAGACGACACGGAGGATGCACAACCAACCAAGGTACGACAACGAGGCTTTGTATGATATTTGCCGCCGGAAGCTTGTTGTGGTTCAGGTTGCACTCCGCAGTTTGTGCGTGTGTTGGTGGGTGTCTGCCACCAGAGAGCATATGCATGCAAACGACTTTGCAAGCAACATGGTCTAGGAACTTGGACATTGAGCGACCTACGTACACCAACCTGAACCGCCTCATCGCACAGATTATCTCAAGCTTGACCGCATCGCTGCGCTTTGACGGAGCCTTGAATGTGGATATCACGGAGTTCCAGACCAATCTGGTCCCATACCCACGCATCCACTTCATGTTGACGTCCTATGCTCCGGTGATTTCGGCTGAGAAGGCCTAAGCTCTTGTTATCAGAAATAGACAGATACATAAGCACATACATTCATACACACGCACACATATGTACAAAGACAGACAGACAGGCAGGCAGGCAGACAGACAGACAGACATATTTACATACATAGCTGCGGGACATCTGTACACACATACGTACATACATACCTGCATGCACTGCATGCATGCATCCATACATACACGCATACATACACACATACCTACAGACATAGATACACACATACATACATGCGCATTCATACATGCATACATACGCATTTTTCGTACACATATATGTGTGTATATATATATATACACACACACACATGTAAAGTAATTTCCTTGAACCCGAAAATTGCGCCAAAAGGCTTACCATGAGCAGCTGTCCGTGGCGGAGATCACCATGTCTGTGTTCGAACCGGCCTCGATGATGGTCAAGTGTGATCCACGCCATGGAAACTTGGTGGAGGTTCCAACTAGGGTTTTGGATTTAGGGGTTTAGGGGTTATGCCAGGGTCAGCTTTTCGGGTTTCCGGGATTTAGGGCCTTTATGGGTGTTTTGTTGTTTCTGTTTCGCGGCTGAGTGTGCCGCTTTGGCGAGTTTGGCGCGCCTTCTCCAGGCGAATAGTGCTACAGGTCAAGTATGGGGCAGTGTAGAGAGCTGCAGCCGAGGCAAATACATGGCCTGCTGCATGATGTACCGTGCTGCGCTCAGAATGATGCATGCAGAGGTCAACAATTTGAGAGTGTCGGCATGTCGGGAATGATGCCGTGTTCGAGTTATTTGTCTCAGGTGGCGATGTCGTGCCAAAGGACGTAAACGCAGCAGTGGCCACCATTAAGACCAAGCGCACCATCCAGTTTGTGGACTGGTGCCCCACTGGCTTCAAGTGCGGCATCAACTACCAGCCGCCCACGGTTGTGCCCGGTGGTGATCTGGCGAAGGTCATGCGCGCCTGCTGCATGCTCCCAGACACAACTGTGTTCAGAGAAGCTTGAAACCCGAAACTCTATCAACCCTAAGAGCGATAGACCCAGAACTTGCAAAAACGGGCTTGGTCGGGGTTTTTGAGCTGAGTCTTCAGCTATCCGGCATGCTGCGATAGTAAAAGTCTTACAGCCTTAACCGTTTCAAGCCCCAAACCCCAGCAACTCGAAACCCTAAATTCCGAGACCCTGAAGCCTTGTCCTTCTTGAGGATCTCCAACAGCACAGCTATTGCCGAAGTCTTCTCACGCATCGATCACAAGTTCGACCTGATGTACTCCAAGCGCGCCTTCGTCCACCACTACGTCGGAGAGGGTATCTGGGCGGTGCAGCAGATTACTGCTTCTTCTTCATCGCATTTTTGGGTTCCTGGATAGTCGCTAGGAGCCTAGAGGCCCTTTAGTCACCTCGTGACCCAGGTATGGAAGAGGGCGAGTTCTCTGAAGCTCGCGAAGATTTGGCGGCTTTGGAGAAGGCCGACACGAAGCGAAGTTACAGACCTGAATGGTAGAGCTGCTGCAAAGCCCCCAAGCAAAGCAAGTGCCCCTCTCGTCTAGAGCTGCTTCTTGGTGAGATATGGGTGGTTGTCAACATTAGGGTCCCTGTTCGGGTCCTTATTATAATACGGCACCTAATATTTAGGGTGCCCAAAAAGGGACCCTAATTTTGACAACTACCCATGTGTGAGTCCATTGCGAAACAGCACGCCTTGTCCTTGTGTATTGAACCCAGAAGTCTCTCCTTGGGGATCATGGGACTTAGTAAGTAAGGTTATAAGTACCTTAATTGGGGTTATATGTATAGACCCTAGTTATAACCCTAGTTACTAAGTCCCATGATCCTTTAAGTAGTACGTGCAAGCATGGCATGGCAGGACTACGAAGAGGTTGGCATCGAAACAGCGGAGGGCGAAGGGGAGGAAGAAGGTTACGGTGATGAGTTCTGAGAGCCTCTGTGCCCAAGCCCAAGGATCAGGATTCTGACAGATATAAATGTTTTGGGGGGGTTCTTACACTTCTATGTTGGGTCATCTCACCGGCATGGTCCTTGGGCAGTGCATGATGCCGAGTGTTACGTGACGGGTAGAAATGATACCTGTTGCAGTCCACGCTCGGCATGTTCACTGAAAGCGATCACGCTCCAGCAAGAAAAAGGCTTCGTAATATGGGGGGCCTAAATATTTACCTCATACTAGTTTGGGGGTTCCTTATTATAATCATAGTTAATATGTCCCCAAAACCCTATTCGAGTTCTCAAGGCTCCCCTACTAAACCCTAAAAGTAACCCTGATAGTAATCCAAAGGAACCCTTTTAAGGGGCCCCTCGTCTAATTCTTAAAGCCCATAAGGGATCTATAGGGGTACCTTTAAGGGGCTCCTTTAAGGTTTAGGGTTTAGGGTTTAGTAATAAGATAGGGCGGTTGCAGGAGCCGCGTGTTTGCACGCCGTCCGAGAGATTCAGACCACTACTCGGAGGATCATGGGACTTAGTAAGTAAGGTTGAGGGTTCCTTTGTGGGGTACTATAGGGTTCTATAATAGGGTTCCTTAAAGGGACCTAGAAGGGGTTTATAATGGGAAGATCATGGGACTTAGTAAGTAAGGTTATAAGCACCTTAGTTGGGGTTATAATCATAGTTACCCCAATTAAAACCCTAGTTACTAAGTCCCATGATCCTTTAAGTACTCGCAAGGTGCCCCACATCCCAAGCTGGCCCTGAACGCTTGCACTGCAAAGCCACTTTGTTTCTGCTACTGCCACATGCGTTGTGGCGCAGTTATGTTTTTGTTTGTGCTACTTCCACACGCGTTGGAGCTTCTCTGAGCATAGTTGCTCTTAGAGTCTAGTGGGTTCATACTTACTACGGTACCATACCTTGTTGTGGATACCTATGGAGCTCAAAAACCGCTGCACAGTAGAACCCGACACAACTCGCAACCCTGCATTATGAAAACCCTACAGCCCCAAGCGCCTCAGAAACACTGGGAACCCCAAAGCCCCCAAAAGTCTGGTGTGACGACCCCTGTAACACCCTCCAGCCTACAACCCTAAACCCTAAACCCCACACCCTAAGAACCCCCAAAATTAGGGCCAAACAAGGCGCTGACAAAGCCCCGGTAAACATTAGATGGGAGTTTCCGAAAGTAGGGGACCCTTTAATAGTAGGATCCTCATTACAAGGACCCCGAAAAAACGTACCCCTAATTTTCGGAAATTACCATATAGAGCCCTTACAGCTGTAAAACACCCTGCAGCCTTGAGGCTCCTGCACCGCCTAGGAACCCCAAACTACTTAAAGGATCATGGGACTTAGTAACTAGAGTTCCTTAAAGGGCTCCTTTAAAGGGGATCTACAGGGGTTCTATTATAGGGTCTACTTAAAGGATCATGGGACTTAGTAACTAGGGTTAAAATTTGGGTATCCATACTTATAACCCCAATTAATGTACTTCTAACCTGACTTACTAAGTGCCATGATCCTCCAAGTAAGCCAGGACAACATCCTTTACTTCAATGCCTTGAGCGGTGAGAAGCAGGCACCCGATGTTAGTATTTAAAAGGGCTCATTAGGTTCAGGTTTTACGCTTTCGGGCTGAGGGCGGCTAGGGTTTAGGGTTCAGGTTTTCGGGCTTAAGCTTAGGATGACTGACAGGTGTGATTCCCCTGCTAGGGCAGTTTTGCGGTTCCTTTTGGGAATCCTGTCTGTAGGGGTCTGACAAAACTCTGCAAGGGTGTAGTGCTTTGGGCTCAATGCGATTCCCTGGGTCTCAAGCTTTATAGGGTTTGCGGTTTGGGTTCATGATTGTGGGGTTTGTGTTTGCATTGGAGATTTTGGGTAAAGTGCTTCAGGTTTGGGCTTGAGGTCTGGGGGTTTTTCAGTGCTTGAAGAAGGAAGCAGTCCGTAAAATCATATATCGACCACCAGGCATCCGCTAGAACCCTAAACTATGAGCTAGGTTGCAAAAGAAATCCAGGGGGTCTATATGGGTGGTTGTCAATATTAGGGTCCCTTTTGGGATCCTTATTTTATAAGACGGCACCTATTATTTAGGGTACCCCAAAATGGACCGTAATTTTGACAACCACCCATATATTCTTCCATTACGAGTTATAAGTCCCAAAAGACCATCCCGGGGACCTATTTCCATAAGGGTAGTACATATGGGTGGTTGTCAAAATTGTGGTCCCTTTTGGGTCCTTATGGTAATACGGCACCTAATATTTAGGGTACCCCAAAAAACGCTAGTTTTGACAGCCACCCATGTGGACCCTCTGGGAACGATCCTTTCGAGCAGCTTCGCTTCGAAGTGTTCCGCAAGGTTGCAAAGCTCATCATAAAGGGGTTACCAACACTATTTTGAGGTTTACTTTTCAAAATTTTAGTATCATCATAGAGAGGCCTAAATAATTACCAACACTATTTTGAGGGGTACTTTTTATGATTGCAGTAGAATTGGCCCCCAAACCCTATTCTAAATATCAAGGCATTAGTCTCCCCCGATACCTAACCCTCCGTCGTGAATGACTGACGCCATAAGCCCCTAAACCCTTGGCCACCCAGCAGAGCAGACCAAGTCTTTCTGCAACCTCACCAAGCCCGAAAACTGACTAACCTTTGATATTGGAAGAGCTAAGGAGCCAGGGATGATGATAATCCCTATTGAAGTAGGAGCTAAAGAGCCCAAGGAACCCCAAAACCACTGGTTAGCTGAGTTAAGGTCTTTATGGGTTTCGTAGGGGGTGCGGCAGGTCTTCCATAAGGCATTTCTTCGCAGGGATCTGGGATCATTTGGTTTTCTTTATCGCCCTCTAGCGGGTTCGATCATGGTTTAATGAAGGTTCCGAGTTTTCAATCGTTATATACAAGACGCCGAAGGCTTCAGCGAGAGTTTAAACTTTGGTATTTCACGGGTTTTGCCTGGGGGATCCCTCTTGAGTTCATCGACTGTGGGTCGAGGTACAGGTTTTGAAGTGTAGGGTTATGGCTAAAGGGCTTGGGGTCTTAGGAATCTGTTGGTTTCCGCCTTGGTGGACGTACTATAGCGGCCTGAATAAGTTCCCTTTACTATTCTGGGGATTCCTTGTTACAAGTTCTTACAGTAGCAAGTTTACGAGCTTGCGACCTGGAGAGTAATGTTTCGCGTCGGTTTCGGTGTCCCCAGAAATAGGACCATGGGTACTTGGAGGATCATGGGACTTAGTAAGTATGGTTACAAGAAACCTAAGTGGGGTTAAAAGTATAGTTGCCCAAATTTTAGCCCTAGTTACTAAGTCCCATGATCCTTTAAGTAGACCCTAAAAGCCCCTCTTAACATAGAACCCTTATAAATCTCTTTAAAGGAGCCCTTTAAGGATCCCTAGTTACTAAGTCCCTTAGTATCTTCGGCGAGAGGTTAAGGATGCCTTGGGCGTCCCAAGGCCTCCTCCGATGATTGGTGCCAGGAGCTTCTTGCGAGTTCAATGCCCAAAAGTGGGGAGGCGACCCAACCACCATCGAAGCCTCTTAAAGGACCAGGGGACTTCGAAACTAGGGTTGTAATTAGGGTACCTATATACTTATAACCCCGGTTAAGGTGCTTATAACCTTACTTACTAAGCCGCATGATCCTCCATGCTTACAAAGAAACTTTGGAATGCTTGCGCAGAAACTGAATGACATGTCAACCTGCAAGAAGCCCAAAAAAGGCACGTAAGCAACTACCGGTACGGTTTTTGTTGTTCCTTATTATAAGCAAGCCCGTGTTCTAATTATTCAGGCCCTTATAGACCCGTCATAAGAACCGTTTAGACGAATCCTATTCTTATAAGTCCAGGTCAAAGGAACCATCCGGTGTTTCGAGACAGACTTTGGCCGGAAGCCAAGCAGCCGATTTGCGGTTGGTTTAGGGTTTGGGATTTAGGGGTTAGGGTTAATTGTTGAGGCTGTACTTGAGGAGGGTCATGCGACTTAGCAAGTAAGGTTATAAGTACCTTAACGGGGGTTATAACTATAACCTTAGTTCCTAAGTCGCATGATCCTTTAAGTAGGTTTTGTTTGTGCGCGGGGCACGACGTGGTGGTTTAGGGGCTCTGGGATTAGGGCCATTGCTGGCTTGACTGAGGGTTTAGATTATTAGTGGGCTTTCGGGTGTTGAGGTTGAGGATCAGTGCTCAGTGCCTTGGATTGAAGGTGCTCGTAGGCTTCATGATTTCAGGTCTCAGGTGATGCATTGGCTTCGCGTGCCTGCGCCTTTGATGCTGAAACTCGTAACATCAAGGCGAAGCTGCAGGATGCATGCACCGGTGATCGTGCACGTGGCAACTGTTGTAAGCATCTGCCGCAACTGTACCATCAAGGCTGCACCTATGCCTATGCGTTGTGGCAGTGGCTGCTTGTTCGCACGTGTTCGCATTGTGCTTGTCAGCCATGGTTAACTCATGCTTTACCGATGGCTGCGGCAAGTCAGCGCACAAGTGCTGTCAGTGCCGGCATTGCGAAAAGCAATACGGACAAAAGTACCGGCTTTTCTTTTGTGGTGCATGCATCAGCGCCGGTGCCTTGGGAAACGTTGAATAATGACTTGGCCGCTGCGGTATTCGATACGTAGTGCATAAGAAGTGTGGTAGGTTCATTGGACCTTTTTCGTGAGAGTTTATAGAACTGGTTGGGCTCGGTTTGATTGTTGGTTTGTGTGTGGGCGTGTGAATATTGCATGTCTTGTTGAGGATACTCGTATGTTTAAACATTTAAAAACCCTGTCGTCGCATGACAATTATTCGACTAGCACAAACACGAACCTACGGCGTATTGGCAAACTAATCCCGTGCACAACCTCCGCTACTGCCCCAGCAGTGACCCAGGTGCCGTGAGGTGTTGGAAATGCCAACGAACATTTGTGGAGGCGGAGTGCAAACCACCCATTGAACATCTCGAAGATCTCCTCTTTCAGAAGGGCATACGGCCTGGAGCACAAGTGGACCTGCAATGGGCTAAAAAACTTCTGATCGCTCGATCCAGTTGCGGCGGTCGCTTGGAGTATTTTCCTGTTCGGACCAAGCGGAATCTTCAGCCCCCCCGGCAAGGTGAGGTCCTTTTCAGACTCATCCGCGACCAGGGATCCATCGAAATCGACGACACCTCGCCGATCTGCAATTTCGGCATTGACCCCTTCACATGGTTGCCGTCCTATAATCTGGAAATGATCCGCAAGCTGACAGCGGAGGTCAACCGGACAATGACAGTGAAATTCCCTCTGGAACGGCGTCTGGCAATCTACGGCTTCGTGAAAGGCACGGCCCACTCTGAGCTTGTGGACATTGACGAGGCCGATGTGCTCCTGCTTTGCCAAGAAGGCCCCTTAGGCTGCTTCTACTACTACTACCCGTTCGCCTCCGAAGAAATGGCACAACGTGTCATGGACGACTGGCGATGGAAGGTTTTCCCACGGTCGTTAGTCCGTGTTGTTAGCCTCCAAGAGGGAACCCTTCAGCAGATGCGCATCAGCCGTGGACTTTGGTGGATCTCAGACCTAGAGCATAGGTTAGGGCCTTTGCTGGAGACCTGAACGGCTTAGCGATGCGCTTTTGGTGTGCACAACCACAATAATCTTCCTTGGAGAGAAAGATCTCTGGCTCCCGCGCAAGCATGCGTCAGCAAATGCCCGGACTTTCTGAACTCCTTCAAACCCCAAACCCTACCAGGACCCTCCTTGTACCCTCAAATAGGGGTATATGGTCCCAAATAAGGGGCATTTAGGGTCTAATAGAGGGTAGATGGAGGGTCTAGGTAGATTCTGAAAAGGATTGCTTAAGCGAATTTCCAATGGGTATGGGACAATCTGGAAAGTCGCTAGACTCGTGGTGATGTACCCGTTAAGCACTAAACCTCTATAACCTAAACCCCTGAAGCCCTAAACCCTAAACCCAAAACCCTAAACCTCTATAACCGAAACCCCTGAAGCCCTAAACCCCTGTGTCTGTCTGCGCAGTCCCTGCTCAAGAGCCGAAGTCAGATGAAAATTTATGTTTTAACCATACAGAAAACCTCAATAACCCTCAGCTAAACCCCAAACCCCCATACCCTATGCCTTTAATGAAACTATAAGCCCTGATTAAGGTCTTCCCCCGGAAGCCGGCTTCGCACCGCTGCGCCTTGGCGCAGAGATGCTTTCATTGGGGGCCGAGGGTTCGATGAAAGGGACTCCTTGGAAGATCATGGCACTTTGTAAGTAAGGTTATAAGTACCTTAATTGGGGTTATAAGTATAGTTACCCTAATTATAGCCTTAGTTACAATAAGTCCCATGATCCTTTAAGTCGGGTTCCGGGCTCAGAGCCCAGCAGCCGAAGCCCTCGTCCTCCGGGAGGTACAGATTGCAGATGCTACTGAAAAACCGGGGCGTGCTGGCCTCGAAGGCTCGCATAGAAACGTGAAATGCCTGGCTGAAGTGTTGAGGTTAGGTTCAGGGGTTGGGGTCGTCAGGGATTGTGTCACGGTAGGGTGGCATCAGCAGAAGGCATAGTGGATGTATTGGTGCCAGTAGTCGTAGTCACGCAGTGGCAGTGGCATCGACAGTACCATCACTAGCAGCAGGATCTTCACCGCCCGTCCTTTTTGTAACATCCAAAGGTTATGTGGTTGTCGTGGTGGTGGTTTGTGGTCGTGTAGTAGCCGTAGTAGTTCTAGCAGTGGTAGTTCTGAGTTGGAGTAGTGCGGGGTGTGTGCGTGTGTGTCCTGATAACTACCTAAACCTGGCCGCTAAATCGTAAAGCTGCAAACCCCAAACCAGACCCTAAACTCTCAAGCTACAAAACCCTGCGAATGCCTCGAATCCTAAACTCTAAACTCTAAGCCCCGAAGCACTAAACCCTAAACCCCAAGATCACCTGTCGGAGGTCGCTTGCGCTACCCGGAGCTCACGGAACGAGGCGAGGAGTGGCAATCTACGACTAATGTATAGAAGCCTTTGTAATTATTGCAGGGTTCCTGTATCCTTCTAACATGATCTATGAGGGTTGCTATAAGGGCTACTAAGACAAAAACAGGGCTGAAAGTAGAGGTCCTAATGACAAGAGAAGGGGCTTGTATACTTCTAACCAGGATCTCCGAGGCATCCTGCGTGTCATTATTCAGGTAGTATAGTAGCAGTAGTAGTAGTAGTAGTAGTAGTAGTAGTAGTAGTAGTAGTAGTAGTAGTAGTAGTAGTAGTAGTAGTACTAGTAGTAGTAGTAGTAGTAGTAGTAGTAGTAGTAGTAGTAGTAGTAGTACTACTACTACTACTACTACTACTACTACTACTACTACTACTACTACTACTACTACTACTACTACTGTAGTAGTCGTCGTCGTCGGGCATACGCGTAGGAGCAGCATAAGAAGGCCTATGAGAAAGGAGGGGGAAACGGCGCAGGGAAGAGTAGTATTGCTACCGTGCCGACTATCGCACAAGCAGACAGGATTGGGGGTGCTTGTTGCGTCCAGATCGGGCTGCTAATGTTGGCGGAGCGGAGACATCGCGCAGAAGTGTCAGAACGCACGCGACACCAACATGGACCATAATAAGATCCTTGTTATAAGGACACACAAGAAGGTACTCTGAGATTAACAACCCTACAATGTTCTCAACTGCTTGCCGACACAACCCTCCATAGATGTGAGGCCATTATCACGCTTTGTGCCCGGCTCAAACAATATTGTTGGGACAGACAGCCTTACAACCAAAACCATGTGTCTGGCGACGCATCGCCTGACTTTCAACCCTTTTCTTCCTCCGATCGCCCTCCCAATCGCAAGGCGCTAAGCTACGCAAAAGGCCAAGCCCGAAGGTCAACCGTCCAGATGCAGTCGCAGCTGAAACCCGATACTACAGGAATTCTCATGGAGCCTCTTGTAGTAGCTCAGCTTGTGGTAGTTTCAAGCAGTGCTCCCCAGCTCACCATCACGAAAACCCTGCTGATGGACGGCGGCTTCCGACTGCCTTGGCGCTATACTGCCGCCCTTGGCCGACAACTTAGCATCTCCCAAAGGTTCCATGTACCTTTATAGTAGCTAATTAAGCCTTAAAATGGTGTCTGTATATAGGCACTTTAAGGCCTAAGTATATACTATATGGGCACATGGAGCCTTAGGGTCTGGGGGTCCGGGGGTCTCAGGGTTTAGGAATTAGGGAACAGTCTGATGCCTTCTTGCGTAGCTTTGGTGGGTTCTAGTGTCTCTAGCTATAAAAAAGAGGGCTTCTGATTCAAGATATGAGCATGTTTGTCGCGTTCGGTTGTTCGGATTTTCTCTCCCATAGAAATAGCCTGTCGCTAAACTCCCGAGACGCTACAGCCGGGAAACCCTTTCGCTGAGTGTCCCTGTACCTGTGTAGCATGTGTGTAGGACGTACCATATCGAGCTTCCAATATGCAGCAGTGGACCCTATAGGCACTGCAATTCAGTAGGTACATGGACCCTCCTAGGCTTCCGTGTTCTAGCTGCCCTAGACTGACTCTGTCTCTCTCTCTCTCTCTCTCTCTCTGTGCCCACACCATAAGGCCAAAGCCGACAATCCTCCCAGACGGTGCAAGCTGCAGCTAGCTAACGTAGAAGCCGAAAGCCAATACTATTCCTTGGGTTCCTCGCTATAACTATACGATAATTTACCCCAAACCCCTAGTCTATTAATTAAGGTGCCTAGAAAATATGACTTTCGTCAAATCGGGTTTAGGTTTCGGAGTGTAGAGCCAGCATTGCTGAGGCATTAAGATACTTGTTGCAACGCAAACGACAAGGTTTCTAGGTTTGCCCCTAAACCCACAGTCGTACTAAACCTTAAACCCCTATACCCCTACACCCCTGAATCCTAACCACTCATCGCATCAGTCTCTGTCCCCCTCAGGTTTGCTCACTGCAGCGGGCAAGGCAGGCTGTGGATGTTCTGTTTTGCTTGCCCAATCTCTAGGGCCCTGAGGAGGAAGGAGAAGCTAGACCCTAAACCGTGAATCCAAACATTAAGGCCCAACAGGACCTACACAAACCCTAATTAGTCCCCTAACTCTTTCTCCGCTCAGCTGGGCGATGCTTTGGGTCCTGTCCTCGTTTCGGACGCCCCCTTGCTGCTCTTGGTGCTCAACGTTGCTCGGCTTCTTTAAGAGTTCCACAAGGCTATAATACAGGGGTTTTAGGGACTTAACGCTTATTTAGACAGGTTGGGGGTTTAGGGTTAGGGATGTAGGATTGGGCGGTTAGGGACACGTGTTCAAAGCATTCAGGGCTGACGCACAACCCGAATCCCTCAAAAGCAGAGAAAAATTCTTGACAACAGTAAGAGTAGTTTTGCCGTTTACATATAAGTATAATATATGTATATATACTTTTTTTAAGAGCCGGGAGACTTTAGGGCTCGGGGGGTGTCTTGGGCCCTGGACACCGTTGGAATTGAGACGTGATGGTGTTGTGGCCTAGAGCCTAGCGGTCTAGCGATTTAGTAGTTTTTGTTTTTTTTTTGGGGGGGAGGGGTTGTTTTGATTGGGGTGTTTCGGCGTCAGGGTTGGCCGGAAGACTTCTTGAGGGTTTGAGGGTTTAGTATCGACTAGCTTTTGTTAGGTCAGCCGCCGTTGCCTTCTCAGGCCAACGACTTGCACCTGGGGCTCACAACCCCAAACACCCACTGGCTGCCGAGGGCTGAGACACTCCTTGCTAGGCTCCGCATTGCTCCGAAATCTTTTCTTCGACCGTGGAGCTTCGGTGATAGGGTTTAGAAGTTTAGCATTGTCACCCGCGCTCTGTTCTGGCATGCCTGCGTCTGCAGATGCTCCACATACAGCACAGCTGTCTTAGGCCGCTTCAGATGCAAAGCCGAAGCGACGTTAGAAGTCTATGTCCTTCGCTTTGTGGGGAACTCCGGATTCCAGCAGGAAGTGTCAAATGCCTGGCAAAACCTGCGTCGTTATCGCTATACTAAATCTTCACAAAGCTCTATAAGAACCCTGTCAGAACCCCTAAACCCTAAACCCTAAACGAACCCTAAACCCAAAACCCCTGCGAAACTCAGCCTCGAGCTGTGAAGCCTTGTGAGAGTGCTGAGGCCGTGGTACATCCTCGGCACGCCCGGCGGCTGAGCGGGGTTCAGCTTCGGGTTCAGGGTTCATGTTTCGTTTTTTTGGGTTTCGGGTTTAGGGTGTTTGGGTTGTGTGCGTTTAAGCGCTGCGGGGTTTAAGGCTTCAAGGTTAAATGTTTGAAGGTTTTTCAGCCCTAGACATTGATCCGTAACATTTTTCTGTGAAAGCATTACCCTACAACGTAGTAATTTTAAGGCTACGCCGCCCGCCTCGGCTTGCCGGAGGAGACCAGCACTGTGACAGAACTGATCGGGGAGAGGTGAGGGCTGAAACCTCGTAGCACCTTATAAGACCCTGTAAACCCTTAAACTCCCCAAGCCCTGTGTAGATACGTAGCTCCACACCCACACAAACCCTGAACCATAAACCCTATAGAAACTCTAAAGGTCCTAATTAAGACCCTAAAACACTCAACCAAGCAGAGCTTCCTTCCCGCCATCTGCTGCCTAGGCTCCGGCGCCTTGCAGAGGATCCCGCTGCGGCCCCGAGATGTGCCAGATGGGCATGCATGCGTGATCATGCGTGCATGTGTGTGCCTGCATGGTATTCATGTATGAACGTGGGTGGTTGTCAAAATTACGGTTCCTTTTTGGGAATTTTAAATATTAGGTGCCCTACTATATTAGGGACCCAAAAAGAACCACCATTATCTTCACAGCCACCCATGTGTGTATGCACTCTGCTTCTCCTATTCCAAAAAGGCTCCATGGCAGGCCTTCAAGGATTTTTGGGAGCCCTGGGCTCCGAATGCGCCCGAAGAGGAGTTTGAAAGGGCGACGACTACAGCGCAGTTAATTTTGGGGGGCCTAAATCATTACCAATACCATTTCGAGGGTTTCCTTTTCAATAAGTTATAGTATAGCGGGCCCCCAAACCTTATTCTAAATTGTTGAGGCCCCTATATTAGGGCTCATTTGGGGCCTATTGCGGGGACCCAGGTATTGCGGGGGAAGGGCGCCTTAATGATACAGGGAAGGGGTTACGTGTATGTATGTACGCATGCATCATCATGCGTGTATGTTTGTATGCATAAAAGGCAGCAAGCAGGTTAATGACCTACTATCTAACCATCTTACACCACAAGCCCGTAGCCTAAGCTCTAAGTCTAAACCCCCTCATCCGTTCCGCCACAGTGGTATTCTGATTGTAGCAGGGAAGAAACGAGCCGAACAATTAACTTTCTCTTAAAACCAACTCCTTAAGGCAACCAGATCCCAAACCCAAAACCCTGATTAAGGGCTAAAGGCTTTAGGATTTTTGTTTTTTGTTTTTGGCTTGTGGTTTGCAGCGTAGTGGCCCTCGCAATGCGTTTGTTGATTCCTGCAACTGCAATGACCTGCAACCTGCTCCCGGTCCTTTGGTCGAGCTCTCGCCAGTACTGATCCTTAGTATGCTGGCCTTAGGTCATTTGTCCGATTGTATCATAGCAAAATTCCACCCAATACCGCAGTCTAAATGCTCAGTTGAAAGCCGATTGACATGAACTGTTGACCACTGTAAACGGTGGCTGCTGCTCTCGTCTTGCAACAAGCGCAGTGACTGGGATTTTGTTTTGAGACAAAGGTTCCAAGCTGCCGCGGGGATTTGTTTTGTAAGAATCCCACTTTGGGGTCCGTGGTTCTGGAACAAAGCATTAGCAACTTAGGTCTTCTTCCTGATCGGATGGCACTACTCGGACCGCTGCCATGGGTGAGGGAGGGGTCAGGGTTTAGCGTTTAGGCCTTTACCCTAAACCCCTAAACCTGCAAGCTCCACGACCTTCAGACCGCCCTTAACCAGTCCAGGATATGCAGCTAAACCCCCCTTCGATGCTTTTGATTGATGGAGCTTTTCGGTAATTCTGAGGCTTGATCTTGTCGACTGTTTGGCAGATGTTAACCGTCTAACCTACAAGAATGGCAAGATGAGGATCGTCGTCGTAGGAGCAGGCAGTAGCAGCAGCAACAGCAGGAGGAGGAGAAGTAGCAGTAGGAGTGGAAGCAGATTGGGAGTAGTAAGAGAAGGACTGCTGTTCCTAGTAGTACCATTGCGTTTTCCGCCCCGTACATGGTTGTTAAATCTTCTGTCCTGGCTCCTGTTGTAGCGTTGCAAGTCTTTGAAGACCTTTGGCATGAGACCACTGCGCTTCAGGCATAGAGCTATGCGTCTGGAGCTCGAAAATTGAAGGCTTGAAATTACATATCTACGCCCTAAACCTTACGGCCTCATCCCTGAACCCGAACCCGAAACCTATACCCAAGTCTGTGGACCCTTCAAAACCTATACGTACTTGTTTTAAAGCGTTCCTTGTGAAGGTAGGTTATTGGGGCTTATGGTGTCTCCTGAGCCCCGGAACATGCCATCTTTCGAGATTAGCTGTCGGACCCGAGCTGCCGTGCCCTTCAACTTCCATCCATCGACTCCCCAAAAAGAGTTAGTCAGGCCTAGACTAGAGGGAGTGAGATCCTGCGCCCACCGATGGCTTCGGCGTCTGCGCCGCGCAGAGGTGTGACGATTATATAGAGCCGTTTGCCAGTGAATCTGAAACATGGATCCCCTGTATTCATACTTCAACTTGTTTCCATGGTAGGATCCTTGTTATGCGGACCTGGACAGACTCCACTCGGTCCTCATTCCCGGTTTAACAAGTCGGGAGTAAATAGTACACCAAAGAAAACCCGAGGTTCAGGCTGTCACGGCAGAACAGACGACAATATGAGGCCCTACCTGATTCAAACTTAGAGTTCCTGCAGGAGTTCATCTAATTTCCTCTACGGGTTCCGATAAAGTTTCTACGAGGCATTGAAAGATACGCCTAAGTTGGGCCGAACATGTCTGTGATACTTACTGTGGACTTCCGACATCGTGTATGTGGACATCCCAACACTCGAACCCATAGGTTCCCACAGCGCTCTCCTCTGCGCTGCACCGTTTCTGCGGTTCCATGCTTCCTTTTTCTCCCATGACTACGCCGGCAACTCCTGCGTGCCTCCCCAAGCCCAATAACCCTCATAGCGATCCATACAGCAACAATTACAGCAAGCCTTGTAGCGACCCCTTCAGTAAGCCTTCGACTAGCAACCCTTACAGGAGACTTTACACAAACCTTAGCCCCTGTTTCCGAACACTCCTCCAGTGCGCTTTGCGGCGGCTCTCCTGGCTTCAGCCGGGTTACCTGGCTCGAGGTTGTAGTGTTGACGTAATCCGATAAGGGATATACCCTGTAGCTGAGGTGTCATAAGCTGCTACAAGCTCATGTAGAGGATTCGCAGGTTGAAGGTCTTCCAGTTTGGGGGAAGGGTTTCGTGTTTGGGGTCTTCATAGAGTGCTTGCCTTTTCTTCACATGGGGCTCGAGCAGGAACGTCAAGGCAGAAGCGGACAAGAGGAAGAAGTCAGGTGCCTCCGCCACGATCACCTGAGCTACATATGGCGCGGAATTGTCAGATCTGTGTTTATGTTGTCTCTTTACAACCCTGTTGAAATTATAGGACCGCAATCGTAAACTCCTGCAACTCAACAACAAAAACCTGTACAAATCCAAAGTTTTTGACTTTTGCAAATCCTTGCAACACCCGAAATGCAAGACCAGGCTACTGAGCTTTGCCCTGGCAGGCCCTACACCCCAAGCCCCAAACCCTAAACTCCTGAACCTTAAGCCCTTAAGGCCGTAATCCCAACACCCAACAGACTTAAAGTATCCAACCTCAAACCCTTCAAGTCCCAATCCCGAAACCCCACATGGGAGTTTCCAAAAATTAGGGGACCCTCATAGAGTACCCGAAGTAGTAGGATCTTTATTATAAGGACTCCAGAATATGATACCCTTAATTTTCGGAAACCCACAAATATCTAAACCCTATAAGGACCTTTAAAGGAAGCCTTATAGATCCCTCTAAAGGAGCTCTAAGCTATCCAAGACCAGGCTACTGAGCCTTACCCGACCAAGCTGCGCCTTTCTTCTCCCTTCGGGGGACGGGGCCACTCTGGCTGAAACCAGAACAGAATGTTAGGGTCTGGGGTTTAGGGTTTAGACGTTTAGGGTTTGGGGTTAGGGGTTTAGGGGTTTGGGGTTTAGGGAATGAAAAGGAAGGGCGCAGTAAATTTCGGGATTGGGTTCTGTTGAGTTTCAGGGTAGTAGGTTTGGTTGGTTGGTTGGTTGGTTTCAGAATTTTCGGGCTTGGGGCTTTGGGTTTGATGATGTTTTCTTCGGCTAACTACAAATGTTCTGCGGGTTTCGTCAAAGTTCGGGTCGCGGACGTTGTTGCAAGCTTTACTAGCATGACTCTCGGGTGCACAAACCGTCCAGTAGTGATACTAGTCTTGCTGGCGGTGGAGGTGCTGATCGTGGTTGTAAGTGGTTGTTGTGGTTGTGGGGATGGTGGTGCTGGTGATGGTGATGGTGCTAGTTGTGCTGCTAGTCGTAGTCGTAACGGCAGTTGTAGCAGCAGTACTAGAAGTAGAAGTAGAAGTAGTAGTAGTAGTAGTAGTAGTAGTAGTAGTAGTAGTAGTAGTAGTAGTAGCAGTAGCAGTAGTAGTAGCAGTAGCAGCAGCAGCAGCATGTTGGATCTTGGGCAGATGGTCTAGCTCATGACTTGGAAGGCTTCGAGCACGCTTCGACTCGGTCAAAGGCCTTCAACCCCACAAGCGCAAACCCAAATTTAAAGGCCCTCCCTAAATCCTAAACCCTAAACCCTAAACTAAACCCTAAATGCCAAACCCTGAACCATACGTGCCAGCTGCAGCCTCTATTCCCCAAAACGCTCCGAACCCCAACAAACCTTAAACCCTTCACCCTAGACTTTATATCCGCAACCTGAGCCCTAAATTCTATGGCCCTAAACTCTAACAAAGCCTGCAGTCCCCCAGGGTTCAAGGGTTTTGTGGCTCATGCCCCTTGGCTGAACCCGAAATCCTAAACCCTAAACTCTAAATCCTAGTCCTTCAATGCGAAACCCTAAACCCTTAACCCTTTAACCCTACAGACCCCAAGTTGCTTTGCAGAGGCTGGCCCACCGGTTCATCGAAGTCCTGACCAAGGCAAGCGAATCATCCGTGAATCCTCCTGGCTGACGTACATTAAGGGGTCCAAGCGCTCATTATGATTGTACTTTTTGGATCCGATTTTGCTTACACATGCCCTTTGTGTAGTACATTGTGGGTACCCGAAACTACTTTGAGACTTTTAGTGGCACCAAAAAACATGAGCAGGGACTACTCGGACCCTTAGGGTCAGTCCTTGTCAACAGCCTTTGTGAAGGGCTAAGTATTCCTGTTGTCGGTTTAGAAATCCAGGGTTTAGGTCTACAGGATCAGGGGACAAAGTAGTTATGAGTAAGGTTAGTCTATGTACAAGTACTTCTATAACACGATAACACCCAAACATAGCGTTTGGAGATAGCATGAGGTTCTCTTACGAGATTCACAGAGCTCTGCATTGTTTTATGTTGTTAAGCTAAGTCGCCCCTTGGGTCCTCCTGGGTTTAGGGTTTGGGGTTTAGGGGTTGGGGTGTGTTCCCTGGACTTTGCCCGGAATCCTTAATCCTACAAGCCCTCAGCCCTAGTGCCCCGAACCATAAGCCACATGTCAGGCTTCGAGTTTTTAAGCAGGTTTAACACTCTAGAAAGCCATTGTTATTCTTGAGTTGGACTTGGTTGGAAAGTCCATCAAATCACGACCTTGTAAATAAGACCCTGGAAAGCCTAGGTGTGAAAGAAACGCCCCTGCAAAGCCCAACATGACCTTCAACCCTCAGCCGCTGAAACAAACACAACTGGATCTTTCTAACGCCTGTTTCTCTTAGCTCAAGAGCTCCGTTGATGTATAGTTAGAGTAGGAATACTTCAGTCCCTATACAACTATAGCCAGAGAATCTCCAGTTCGGTGGCTATGCAGAAGTGCACAGTGTGCAGCTAGGTTTTGGGTTTCGGTTCTCATGCGCCTGCTGCACTTCCAGGCACAGGCAGCAGTCCTGATGTATAAGATCCTGCGTGAACCGACTACAAGTCTGCACACGCCCCCCAAGTCCGATCCTAATTACCAAGAGGGACTACTATTGTGGAATTACGTCCAAAAATCATGATGGGGATGGTCTTTCGAGACCTGGTAGTGTACATGGACCCTCTGGGCTATTAAATCCGTTGCATGTATCTAGTGCTTACCTCGCGCTTACAATGAACAGTACCTACATTGAGACAATTGGAGCCCCAAGAATAGAAGGCCCAAAGATAGATCCTGTCAAACCACAACTGTAGTCTCCTTTTGGATTTTTGTGTTTGTGTTTATATAAAACCCGAGGGAAAACTAGAAATAACTCTACTTCTATTATGGTTCTAGTGGGGGTATCTAGGCAAACCCGCCCAAGCTCTCGGACAAAAAGCCTAAACCCCAAAACCTAAACCCTAAACCCCAAAACCCCAAAACCTAAACCCCAAATCCCTAAACCCCAAACCCCAAACCCCAAAACCTTAGTTGCCAGGCCGCCGGGCGTTGGCTGCAGCGACGCTGGGCTGAAAGTCTACTTGGAGGGTATTTGAATGGTTGCTACAAGGGTGCCTTTAAAGGGTACTGTAAGGGGTCCTTTAAAGAGGTTGCTACAAGGATGATATACGAGTTACTTTAAGGGTACTAAGACTATAAGGGTACTATAAGGGTTCCTGTAAAGGGGTTACTATAAGGGTACCTTTAAAGGGTTCCAAGGGGTTGCTATAAGGGTTCCTGTCAAGGGTTACTATAAGGGTGCCTCGAAAGGGTTCCTTTCAAGGGGTTGCTATAAGGGTACTATACTTTAAAGGGTTGCTATAAGGGTCCTGTAAGGGTTCCCTTGAAAGGGCTCTATAAGGGTTGTCTTTGAATGGTTGCTTTGGAGTCAGGGGGTAGGGTTTAGGCTTTCGAAGGGCTCTACGAGATTTTATGGGGCCTCATAGGATCCACAACCTTTTGTGGTAAGCGAAGGTTTTTTCCGGCTTTCTAGAGTTTACAACGAAGGGTCCGATAGGGTTGTTTTGCAGGCTCCCAGAAGGCTTTCCGAGTTTCTACACCCAAACATTCCAAAGTACCTCTACTTATGGGGAATACTTACCCAAGCCATAATAGTAATTCCTAGTATAGAAGCCCTACAGTCTACTCTGGTGCACGTCCCCTCAAACCGCAGTATATTCGCTTTAGGCGTTGGGGCCTTGAGGAGGTCTGGGGCTAAGTTTAAGGTTTAGGGTTGGGTTCAGGGTTTGATTTTTGTTCTTGATGGTTCTATCGAATTTACTCCCAAATCTTATGGGTATTTGTCATGTTTTTGTTCGTTCTGAGGGGTTAAATTTGGTGTTTCATGGTCTCATAAGCAGGCATACCCATATGCTGGTCTACATCTTGTTGTTCTTAGGTTGGTAAACTGGTTGTGAACTTGATGCACAGTCTTCGATCGACGTTGAAGGCTCCCCCAAACTGCCTGGTTTAGGGTCCCCAGCCTCAGCACGAATTTCCTCTATGCAAAAACTAACCATCAAACCCTCTAGCCACCTTGTTTCATGTTACAACCCACCGTGAACGAACCGCCCTAGATCCAAAAAACCAAAAACCAGAACCCAACGCCTAGCCTAAAACTGAATCTGTTGCTTCAAGACAGAACCCATAAACAAGCCCCCACCCCACAGGAACACCTGAAGAAACAAGCAGTCCCAACAGGAACCCCGAAAGGGATCCCCATGGTAACCCTCAAGAGGCCCTTAAAAGGAATCCGAAAGATCCCAGAGATCCCTATGAGGGAAGCCTTGGGGGAGCTGAGCCGTGTCATCGGACGAGGTTGCTTCTGGCGCCCTTGGCCGCCGAAGCACAGCCAGGCTTTTGGGTTTGGGTTTAGGGTTTAGGGTGACTTCGCTTAAGAGTACAAAAAGGGTTGAAGCGCGATTAACCCGATCTTAGGGTTTCGGGTTTATAAGGGTTAAATTAAATTTTTCTTAAAAAGCTCCGACCGAGAGTTTTATCGTGTACGAATCATCTTTCAAGAGGTTCGGGTATGGGGCTTCGGGTTGTTCCTCTGAGGGGCCAAGGACTCTACAAAGATCCCGTATGGTGTGTTGAAGGCTTCAGGGTTCTTGGGGCTTTGGATTTTTTTGTTTCGTAGGGGTCTTCGGTTTCGGGTCTGCAGGCGTTCGTTTTGTTCGGCTTTTAGGGGTGTTGGGGTTTAGGGTTTACCCGTTTACCCTGAGGGTTCTGGGTATGTTTTCGAGGTTCCAGAACCTTATAGGAATGCCGCAGGGGCGTCAGGATTTCGTAAAGCCTAGTCATGAAGGGTCCCCAAGAGTGCTGGGATCCCTTGAGTAAACTTTGGGTTTACTTGTAGTAGTTTCGAATACGAGGTTCATCGCTTACTATAGGGACCTGAATAATTATCAATACTGTGTTTTTTTTGGGGGGGGGTCCTTTGTCTAATTATAGTACAATATCTACCCCCAAGCCCTATTCTAGTTATTAAGGCCCCGATATTATAGTACCCTTATAGATATCTTATAGTAACCGTTATATACACCCCTTGAAAGGAACCCTATTCTAAATATTGAGGCCCCTACAGTAGGCTTCCGTAAGCGGCTTTGGAAGATGAGTTTTACTGTAGGCTTGGTGAGAGCGATGCTACTTCAATGACCAGTAGACTTCGCGCAGGTTCATCATAGGGACCCTTAGGTCCTGTTTACTTAAGTAGGGTTTAGGGTTTAGGGTTTAGGGTTTAGGGTTTAGGTATGGTGTATGGAGGAAGCTCTACTTTCGTCGGCCTTGCTAGTGAGATGCAAGGAAATGTTCCTGGAATAGAGCGTCTTGCTGGGAGAAGCCAAGTCAAGGTATACGTACTTCAAACTAACTGGGGCTAGAAGTCATTATAGCGACTCTAGCTAAGATGGCTATACTGCCCCTCTTATTCGCATGCCCACGGAGCTTGTATTAAACTGTATAAAACACCCTGTGCAACACGACTCTCTCAAACCTACGTATGCAGGCGTCCCGGCGACAGCAGATGCGCCTTGGCTTCGTTTTGAGCTGGACGGGAGATGGCTGTGGGCTTTAGCATGCTTCTTCATAGTGCTTTAGGGTCTTCCTGGCAGGGTTTACACTTATTGGTTTTATGAAGGGTCCTTTATCTCGCTTTCGCGCCGTAAACCTTAAGCCTGCAGACCGGAGAGGGCCGGTGGCTTTCAGGTTCGATTTTTTGTTGTATTTGCAAGGATATGTGGAAGGTTTTGTAGGGTTGATGATAGTTTTACAGGGATGTATCGGGTCGCATAAGGGTCTTTGTTTACGGTTGTTGAAGTTTTAATTGGGGTTCTGGTGTTTCGTGTTTAGGGTTTAGGGTTTTGGGATTTTAGGCTTGGAGTGGAGTGCCTGGGTAGCATAAGTGCGCAGTTCGGCACTTGCAAGAGGGCTGCATTCATGCTTTGAATAGCGGTTGGGGGTATATTGTGATAGAAGGATATGCTTTACCAACCGTTCATTGCAGGCCTCCGAGTCTATCTGAATACAGTAGGCGGGCTCGAAGGTAAGCGGCCATGTTCTTACACTTTGCGTGCATAAGTGACATATCATCGTATATTTTTCGAGGAGCCCTATGGAGTTTAAGTAAAGATGGCATGTGACGTCGTGCGGCAACTTGAGTTCCGTCTGCAGCCATGTTACACCCATTTCCATAATCTGAAAGTCTTCAGGGTCCTCACCGCCTAAAGTCCCAAATCCTTTGTTCCCCGTAGCAAAGCGGGGCGTGCTGATTTAGTGTATGGAGAAAGGAGCGTCATTGCACTTCAGAAAAAAAGCCGCAAATCCAAACATAAATAGCAACAGTCTACGCCCTGAACCGTCAAACCCTCGAGCCGCAACGCCAGCTGCCCTAAAGCCCCAAAGCCTTTCACGAATCGGACAAAAAGCCCTGTGGCCGTACCCGAGGCTCTCAAGCAAGAAACCTCCATACAATGTGACCGTAAACCTGAAAAGCAAGGTATGGAAAACAGCAGCAAGTCTCCAAAAGGCCAAACACCAGACTTCACAAACACACACAGACACACAGACACACCAAAAGAATAGTACCTGATACGTGTCGAAGACAGCAGAGCCGTTAGATCATGAATAACGCAAATACGTCACGTTGCATGTATGTACATATAGACATTCACTCAAGCAAGTAGTTAGGTCGATAAGCGTTTTCAATATATGTATATGTACACATGTATACAAACGTATATCTGTGTGTATATATATATGTATGTGTATATATATATATATATATATATAAGACACACTTAGAACACTTTGAAAGTATCAGGTTTTACTCTAGAAACGACGACAAGGTGCTACCTCCATGGGCCGCCGCCTGGAGTGCGAAGCTCGGAGTGGAGTTTAGGGCTTTCGGGGATTAGGATTTAGGGGAGTAGGAGTTTTTGGGGTTTTAGGAGTTTAGGGGCTTAGGGCTTTAGGGTTTCGGGACTCAGGGTTTAGGTTTTAGGGTGTTGCTGTCAACGCCGTTGTTTCTGAGGGGGGGAGGGTTGCGGTGTTCAGGGTTCAGGGTTTCGTGAGGGTTGTTATAGGTCCTTATGCGTGCTATATAGGTTCCATGAGAGTTCAGGGTTTGTAGGTGTAGGTGTTTCGGACTCATATTATTTAAACCAGGAAGATCCAGGGAACCACAAAAAGGAACTACATAAGAACCTCTAAATAGGTTCCTTGAGAGTTCAGGGTTTGCAGGTGTTTAGGACTCAAATTAGTGGTTTTTGGATTTATGATTTATCACTCCAGGTTTCTTGAATCGGGGGGTGTTTCAAGGTTTTGGGATGTTGGCTTCGGGTTTCTGCGAGGGGTTCTAGGGGCCGTTTTGCGCTGATTGTAGGTGCGGGTGTACTTGGAGGTTCGTGGGTAGTTAAAAGTGCGGTTTTAAGTGGGGTAACCGTAATTATAACCCATACTAGGGGACTTATAGCCCCACTTATAACTACCCATGAACCTCCAAGTAGGCCCTAAACCCTCTACCCTTGTAGAATCCCTATAGATCCCTTTAAAGGGACCCTTAAAGGAACCCTTATAACTACCCATGAACCTCCAAGTGAGGTTGAGCGTTTTTGGGGGCTTAAGAGGTTTAGGGCTTCATGGTTTCACCTTAGCGCCGACCTCCGGTTTCGACATGCGCAAGACCTTCGGGTTTAATGTAGCAACCTGATTAAGAAACCCTGGGCCTTTGTTTAGGGCCCCTTTAAAGGGGTCTATAAGGGATACTACAAGGGATCTATAAGGGTATTATAATAATGTAGGAACCTGATTAAGAAACCCTGGGCCCATAACCCCAAAATAGTAGGATTCATGTAAGGAACCCCAATACAGGCCCGAGGTTTCTTAATAAGGTTCCTACATTAGGATGAATGCGTCCGGGATATTGAGGGGATGAGGGTTTCGGCATGTCGGGGCTTCGATGTTTGATTCTGGATTGGGGAGTTTTGCTGTTGATGTAGCAGGACTTTGAAACCCGAAACCCAGTACCCCAACCGCTTAATTGAACCCTAAACCCCTACAGAAAACCCCAAGCCAGCGAACCCTCAAACCACAACCTTGCGTGACTCTGCAAGCTCATCACCCGTTGAGAGCTTAGTGGTCTGGGGGAAATTTAGGGGTTAAGTTTAGGGTAGTGTCTGAGTGTTGTCTGTGTGTGTGTGTGTGCGCGTGCGTGCGTGAGCGTGCGTGTGTGTGTGTGTGTGTGTGTCGGTGTGTGTGTGGGTATGTGTGTCCGTGTGCTTGTTTATGTGAGTGTGTGTGTGTGTGTGTGTGTTTGTGTGTGTTTGTGTGTTTGTGTGCTTGTGTGTGTGTGTGTGCACGCAAATGCGTCTTCCTAACCGAAAGCCGCTGGAATCTATATCCCCTAAATCCTCAGACGCTGACGGCCTCTTCGAGTGCCAGCACACGACCTGCTGCAGAAAGTTGGGCCTACTCTTTTTTATTTTCCGATATTTTCCGAAGCAAACTGCAATGATTTGGCAGCATGTGTCGTCCACGTCATCCCGAACAGCTGCTTGGCAGCTTGGCTGGGCGGCGGCATTCCGAATCCCATCGCCCTACTCAGTTTAGGAAGGAAGATTGTCGGCAACTACATGAGCATCCCGGCTGTTGCAAGGAGAGCCGGCAGAAAGCCTGGATGAGTGTCCCTCAAGACGATCTTTCCGCGGCAGTCGCAACATTCGTCCTTTCCGTTTTTGAGAAGCACTTCGGCAAAGACTATAGAACTTAGTCCAGTCCCTCTAGTTACTCAGCAAAACTCTATAAGAGCCCGAAAACTTCAAGCAGGCGGAGCCTTACAAGGCATCGCGCAGAATGTCGCAAAGCAGGTCGTTCTCCATCCTTTTGACACGGCAGGGGCTCTCAGAAACCCGGTTTCGGGTCAATTTAGGCCTTGGGACCTTGTCTGGACTGTCCTCAGCAAGCATTTCTGTTCTACTGCAAATAAGCCCAACGGGGTGTGTGAAGTATGTTTGTACTGCAGGCGTCAGGGGCTTATAGTTGTACAGTAATATGTAATGTCTTTATCAGCGGTTTATCGTATAAGAGGCTTGTATAGGCTTTGGGATGTTGGATGTTATAGGAGACGAAGCATGTACATTTACATCAAATACGAGAGTTTCATGTTTCGGTTCAAGAGTCGGCTTTGTTCTGGGGCCCCACGTAGCCGGTGTCCTCAGCTATTAACCCAGGACTCCTGCATGCTCTCAACAGTTAGACCTCCTAGCTGTGAAGCCACAATCCCCGAAACACCCCAAACCGTGCGTTCACTCCTGAACCCCCAAAGCCTAATATCGGGTCCCTGATAATTGAATAGCGAATAGCGTTTTGGGGTAGACTATATTGTAAAAATTACACTTATAAGCATATTAAGGAACCCACAAACCAGTATGGGTAATTATCTAGGCCCCTTTCATTCTTAAAACCCACCAAGCCGAAGCTCGCAACGGCCGAGGCCCTAAACGTGAAGCCTCAACCCCCTAAGCGAGCCATCTTCCCGGAGAGCCCAATGCCCTTTAATTAAGGAATACGGCTTAAATCATTATGTGAAGCCCTGTATAATTTAAGGTACATTGCTTAATTCAGGGGGTATTGGGCTCTCTGGGTGGAGAATCCCGCCGAGGTCAAAACCCGTCTCCAGGCAACCGCTGGACGACCGGATGCCAGTCGCGCAGTGCCGCGGCTGCGCCGAGTATGCAACTCTACACTTGGAGGATCATGGGACTTAGTAAGTAAGGTTTAGGGTCCCTTTTTAGGGTACTATAGTGTTCTATGATAGAGTTCCTTAAAGGGATCTGATAAGGGGTCTATAATGGAGGATCATGGGACTTAGTAAGTAAGGTTATAAATACCTTAACTGGGGTTTTAAGTATAGTTACCCTAATTATAACCTTAGTTACTAAGTCCCATGATCCTCCAAGTAGGGCTACAGGCACCACAACGCCCCGAAAGACCGCATCAACAAAAGGGCTTGGGTATGGTGCACGAGTTGTTCACACTCCTCTGCTACTTTGGAGCTCTAACTTGTTTATGCGTAGAGATCAGGCTTTGCGTGAGAGAACATCCCACATGTTCTTCTTGAGCGCACCAGGAGACATTAGACATGTCTCCGAGGTGTTTCGCTGTGGGACGCCGTGTGCTCTGTAAGCCCGAAGCTCGAGCTATTCTTCCACGGGTCGATGTGACATATTGTAGAGACTTATCCGTTACGACTTCGAGCCGTAAACCCTACCTGGTTTGCGGCTGTTATGTCATAGGTTCATGCATAGAGCTTAAAGTGTTTGAGGTGTAGGGTTTTAGGATTTTAGCATGGACCTTTTACCTCAGACTTTAAAGTTGCAAAACCCCACAAACTGATTCGCAAAACCACAAGATTTTCAGCGCCCGTAAACCCTATAAGATAAACTAGTCGCAAAAGCATGGCCTCTTGCTTGGGATTGCGAAAATGTATGAAGCCCTTCTGCAACCCGACAACAGACCCGGCCTAGGAACTTTTCCGGGATGTTTATCGCGGCCTCCTCCCGACTTTGGTGAGTGGCACACCAGGACGGTTCCGGGTTTTCGGTGGTTTCGGGTTTACTGTCTTGGGCTTTGCAAGGGTTATATGGGGTTCGACCCAGAGGGTCTTTATCAGGGTTGTACAGGGGTTTAGGATTTTTTGGGCTGGTTTCAAGGTCAGGGGTGAGAAGCGATCCAAAAAAACAGTTCTTCAGGCGAGTGTACCTTGGTTCAAAGATCTAGTTTCTCTATATCCATCATTAAGGACTGTTGCATTGTCTCTACGAACGATCCGAATACCTGCAGGACAAGAGTTCCGGCAGATACTTAGAGTCAACCGCTAGTAGCTGCTAGCAGAGGTTCTCTCTCCATGAGCAGGGATCCCATGTATGCTTCGCAAAAAGCCTACTTAAAGGATCATGGGACTTAGTAACTAGGGATATAGCTAAGGTAACTAAGTATCCAGATGCTACCCAGAATAAGCAGCGTAGCTGGGCATGGAGTCTTGGAGAGGCCCAAACCTGCTGTTCGACCCCCAAGGTACTTAAAGGATCATGGGACTTAGTAAGTAGGGATATAATTAGGGTAACTATACTTATAAGCCCAATTAAGGTACTTATAATCTTCCTTACTAAGTCCCAGAAGGATCCCCTAAACCCGCAGCCGAATGGCTCATCCTGGTTTAGGAGTCACTCACTCGTAACCGCGGTGAGAGAAGGAGCCCTCCCAAACAAAACGCCCTCAAGCGCATCCGTACCCTAAACCATTTAAACCCCTAAACCCGAAACTCTAAACCCCTGAACCCCTAAACCCTTAAACCCTGAAACCCTTAAACCCTAAAGCCAAACTGGGTATTTTCATCTCCGGTCTGTCCCAGGCAGCGCCACGTTTTTCGCCGCCAAGGCCCGTGACCGTGAAGGATCCACAGCCCAAATCCCAAAAAATCTCGGTTTTAGGCGCTAGGGTCTTGGATTTAGGGTTTAGCATCTTGGCTTCAGGATCTAGGTGGTATGACAGGGGTCGGTTTAGGCGTTTTAGGTTGTTACTGCAGTGCGCCCCCACCAATACTCTTAAACATGAGACTCGACACCCCAAGCCAGCGTGGGATGGAGCATTGTCTTTGAATATGAGTAAGTAACAGGTACAATGCACCTTAACAGTCTTCTGCAGGATTTCATAGGGTGTTACATGATTTGCGTTCTCGGGGCCTGTTGTCTCAAACAGTTCGTCTTCTCGCTCTTCTGTGAGGTTTGGTGGCGATTTCTCAGATTGTCTTTGACGTCTTTGCGCGTTTGTGGGGGAGCAGCAGGTACCTGTGTCGAGAAGTGGCAAGACCCTGTACCCAAATCCCTCGCACGGCAATACCCGAAACACTGAACGACACAAAATAAAGTTGAGTAAACAACTGCCTCTATAGCCCCAAATAACATAGAATAGCCGACCCCCAAAGCCGCACTGTATGCTGGCTATTCAGACCCGAACACGAAACCCCTACAGCAACCGTGATAGTGACCCTGAAAGACCCTTTAATAGGAACCCTTGCAGGAACTGTTTTCTTAAAGACCCCTGTATGGAACGACCCAACGTAAAACACCGCTGGCCTGGACAGGAAGCGGCCTCGGCCCAACTTCGGCGCCAGGCGCCAGGGACTGTCGAGCTTGATATCGGGGCCTTAATGATGAGAATAGGGGTTTGGGGCCCATTTTCATATGGCCTGTTCAGGAACACAGCTTAAGTAGCATAAAACTCAATGAGATCGTACACTACATCGACATAAACATACACACAGACACACACACACACACACACACACCGCTCTATATGTATGTATGTAGTATGTAAGTATATTTAATTTATATATATATATACACACCTATTTATTTATTTATTTATACACAGATAAACAAAAATGTAAATATAAGTATACATATGTGTGTATATATATATATATGTATACTCACATTTTTTTACATGTATGCATACAGACTTCCTTAACGACGGAGTCTGTAAGTTTTCGGGCTCTAGCGGGTTCGGGTTCTGTCGGGCCACAGATTCCTGAGACTTCTACACGGTTTGGTGCATTTTATGGATTCTGTTCAGGGTTTAGGGTTTAGGGTCTAGGGGTTCAAGGTGCACGGTTTAGAGTTGGGCTTAATTCGACGACCAGTTTAAGACTTTTCGTAGAGTTGGGAGCAGACTTTGTAACCGCGCAAACTCGGCGGACCGTAGTAGACAGGCTTGGAAACAGAACGTCACCCTGCGCAGCACCAGGCATTGTGCCAATCTGATGGCCGTTAAAAAACTTAGAGGCACCCAATAGAGCCTATCACAAGCTATTTTCATCCCACCCTGAAGCATGTTGTGTGTCGTATGCTAAGCCATGCAAGGTGAACTCCTGAAACCTCTGCGAACCTCTGAGAGGCTTAAACTCAAGGTGTGACAAACTTCAGTCTACTATCCGGGTTTAGAGAACATATATAGGGCTTAGGGTTTGCGGTTTAGCATCAGTTTGAACAGGCCTCAACAGTTACTTGTGTTCACACCGTGGTCAGTGGTCTGTAAGACAACTTATATCCTGGTGGTCCCTAAACCCTAAACCCTAAACCCTAAACCGTAGATACCCTATATAGAGCTCCGAACCTTCAACTCTAGACCCAGTTAAGCCATGGTAACCCCAGGAGCCCCTAATCCCAAACCCAAATACAGGGAGACCGATCCGAGAACCTTACACAACCTAAAACCCACTTGGAAAGTCGGGGGGCTTAGTAAGTAGTTAGTAAGTAGACTTAGGAAGTAGGCTAATCCCAATTAAGGTCCCCTTTAGAATACTTATGAATCTACTTATTACCCACTTACTAAGTCCCCCGACTCTCCAAGCAGGCCCTATAAACCTTAAGCCCTACATTTCTCTAATCTGACAGGCAGCACCCGACCCGCTGCCGACGCTCGGCTCCTCCGATTGAAGCTGGGGGTTTTCTGTTTCGGGTTGAGGTTTAGGGGTTTCTACTTTGGGATTCAGGGTTTGGGGGTTGAGGAGTTATGCTTAGGGTTTACATAGGGTTTGGGTCGGCTTGTTCTGAGGAATCTGTCGGAGTCTTGAGAAGGACTGCGGGGGATCGGGTGATTTGGCAAGTTTGCGAGTGGTTACATAAGGTATACGTCTAGATATCTAGCTTGCTTGCAGTTGAAGAGTGGTCCCGCAGGATAATCCAGCCCGGTTGCACAGCCATTCCTCTAGGTTTGGGATGTGCGGGTATTGGAGTCCTCAGAACTCGTTTGCTCCAATTCCGTCAGTGTGTTTCCCGCACGCTACGCCGTCTTACACCCCAGACCTCTCCTCCCCCAACCCTAGGCCCTGAATTCCATAATTAAGCCCAGGCCGAAGCCCTGAATGCCTGAGAGTAAGAGCCCGAAGGACCCGATAGAAACCATCAAAGAACCTGTGCTATGTTTAGGGTTTAGGGTTTTAGGGTTTAGGGTTTTAGGGTTTTAGGGTTTAGGGTTTAGGGTTTTAGGGTTTAGGGTTTAGGGTTTAGGGTTTTAGGGTTTAGGGTTTAGGGTTTAGGGTTTAGGGTTTTAGGGTTTAGGGTTTAGGGTTTTAGGGTTTAGGGTTTAGGGTTTAGGGTTTAGGGATCTAAGGATACGGGTACGGAGTCCTTATACTCAAGGTGTACCCTTCGCACAAGTCCAACTCAGGCGGCAGGGTTTGGGACCCAGAGAAAAAAATCCCACAGTCGCTGCAAAGAGCCTGATACCCACGCATGAAACCTCTAAACCCTACATAAATCCCCGCACCCAAAACCATGAGCCCCAAACCCCTAACCCCCTAAATTCCTAAACCCACTCGCTAAACTCGAAATCCCTGAACCCAAAACGCCTTAAGTCCCCCTAAACCCTCAACTCTCAGGCGGTGTGGTGCTAGGCGTCCTGAGCGCAAAGGCTGGGCAAGGGGATGCGTTTTCGGGGCTTGTGCGGATTAAAGGGTTTAGGATTTCAACTTGAACCCGGGACCCAAAACCCCAGAAGGTTTCCAGAATGTTTTGCACATTGGGAGTCAGCTGCTTTGGGGTTTAGGGTTTCAATTTTAGGGTTTAGGGTTTCAAGGATCAGGGGGTTGGGTTTCGAGTTTAGGGATCCGGGAACTTAGTTACTCAGGTGATAGGTTAAGTAAGGCAACTCATATATTTGTTCCAGCTAGCCCCAAGCAAGCTACCTAAACCGTAATCTTCGTGGATTTCAACACCCAATATAGAGGTCTGAATGGTCATGTCCCTCAACAGTCGCCATAGATTTCTAGTGGTATAGGCCCGAAACCTTCCGTTGACAGCAAAGCTCCCGTATCCTGTAGCCGCCATCAACTTCTACTCGAGTATAGCCTACAAAGTGTTTATGGCAAAGCTCTCTTTGGCCGCAGGCAGCAAGTAGGGTCTGGAGTACGGTAGCCATACAGTAGAAGCCAGAAAGTTGGAATATCATTATCGTAACCCCTTTAAGGTAAACTATAAGTAGGGTCTGGAGTACGGTAGCCATACAGTAGAAGCCAGAAAGTTGGAATATCATTATCGTAACCCCTTTAAGGTAAACTATAGGGGATCCTACCACTAATCCATATTCCAACTTTCTGGAGTTCCCTTTAGCCGCAAAGACTTGGAACCCGACTAATGTAGGAACCTGAGAAACCCTGGGCCTCTAATCCCAAAATAGTAGGATTCATAGAAGGAGCCCTAATCAAGGCCCAAGGGTTCTTAATCAGGTTCCTACATTACTTAAAGGATCATGGGACTTAGTAGCTAGGGTTATAATTAGGGTAACTATACTTCTAACCCCAATTAAGGTACTTATAACCTTACTTACTAAGTCCCATGATCCTCCAAGTAGGTACAGATAATCTCACTGCATGACCAAGCGACATTTAGAGGAACCCCGGCTGGATTCGCAGGAGTAATACGGTTGATGACATAAATCCTGCATTGCCATATTGACTCCACGCTCTGCGGATTATGGTATATTTCTTATTATATATGGGTAACACAGGATTTATATCATCAAGGCAATAATGGTACTAGTAGCCGTGGCCGAACTCGAACTCGAACCCTCCCCAGGGGTATGCTCTGGAGTTCTTGTCATCGCAGTAGCCGTCGTCATGAGTAAGTAGAAGGTTGAAGTTTCTTTTTGCGCCCGACGCTAAACCTTAAAGCAACCGACTCCAAGCCCTAAGAAGAACCCCGAACGTCCCAGCCCCTTGAACCCTAAACTGCAGCACCAACGTGACCTCAACCACAGAATCCCCAACGCCGCGAAGCTCGAAATAAGCCCTTAAGGGCTTAGAATAACAGCCAAAAAAGAACCACGCAGGCCGTCAAGACGCCGTTTGACGTTGCAGAGACGAAGGCCTCCGTCGAGCGCAAATACCCCGCATCACTTGAACGATCAGGGACCTGGAGTGATGGTTTCCTGGTTTAGGGTTCAGGGTTTGCGTGGTGGGGTTTGGGGTGACGGGATGTGGAGGGCGGTGCTGTGGGGTCTCAAAGGTAATGCTGCAGAGTTTAAGTCCGCGGTGTGGAGTGCAGGGTTGTGGGTTTTGGTAATCGCCGCTTATAAAAGTGTTGGGGTTTTCGTGTTATGTATACATACAACAGATGGCAGCTACACTTAGGGCTTGTACAGGTGTATAGTGGTAGTAGGGAGGACTCGGCGTCTTGTTTAGAGGTCAGAGGACTTATTCTTTTTTGACACTGAAGACATGGCAATGCCGTACCTCGCATCAACGCCTGAAGCCTGTACAACCCCTACAAAACTTATTGAGGGTGATAAAACTGTGCACATGCTGGTGCGCTTGCAACCTGTGCATCGAATGCGATGGCCCACAACTTGCGGCTGGTGGGAGGAGTGAATGCCCAGGGCAATGACATGCGAACCAAAAGTGCAAGGCAGATCCATCACCTGGGTCAGTCTGTCCCTCCTCCAAGTGGCCTGTATCAACAGACCGCACCGTGCACATCTGGCGGCAACATTTCTGCCCTTGCTACATGGACTGAAACTGTGAAGGGTGCTAGCATTGGAATGCAGCACAATCTCAGCACGGGTAGGGAGCTTTGGGCCTTTCATCATAGGAATACTTAGACCCTCCCCTCAAGCCTGGCATGCCAAAACCCATATCTAAGAATGAGAGCCTCCTGGACAGACCAACATCGACGATACAACACGTCTTGAATGCTCCGTCGGACGTCCAGAAAAGCCAACCTAGCCCGACTAGCAGCAACTTCACCCGCAGGTCAGAGGACTTACTTAGGCTTGCCGGAGTGAGGGTTAGGCGGTTAGGGGCATATAGTGCCTGGGGTAAATAAAGTATAGAGTTTTGTTGCCTGACACCGATTTTTTGAAGATTGGCGAGGGTGGCGACTGTGTCTTTGCCCTCAAACTGTCATACGAAGGGGGAAGTGCTTTCAAGTTCAGTTCGGCGACCACCACGGGAGCGACCTTTCCAGACAATGGAGGCCTGCACCCTTAACCTCCGCAGTCAAGCCACCGCTGGCATCCTCATGATGCTAGCAAAAGCAGACAAACAACTGTCTGGTTCTGAGTAGGGAATGGGGGCATGGATTATGGGGACCATTATTGGGGATTATTTAGGGACTGCTATGGGGATCCATTCCCCCATTCCCTGCTAAACACCAGGGAGACAACCTCAGCACCGAAACCAGCAGATACACGTCCGATTAGGCCATGGCTACAGTGGCCACGGAGGGCGAGGCGCGGACGGCTTCAGAGTGGGGTGTGTGAATGGGCTTTTGTGCTTGTGGGGCTCGGGAGTGAGGCTTCAGACTAACGCAGGTATGTGTGTGTGTGTGTGTGTGTGACAGTAATGTGTGTATGAGTATGTATATATATATATATATATATCCACACGTATATTTATTTCTATGGGTTTATTATTTGCTTATGGAGAGTATGCGACGCTTTCTGCATTGTATGTATTCCCACACGCATACATACTGTCATGCATGCATGCATACGTACCTACATACATACATGTATACACACACCCACGCATATGCATTGTTGGTTGCTTTTCCGGATGGACTGGTGCGACGGGCGGAGGCTGGGGTGGTCGGTGTTGAGGGCAGGGTCGAGCGTTGATGTTTTTTTGATGGCCCCGGCTCCAATGCTGCGGGCTTGAGAGCAGTTTGCCGTATCCAGCTTGAAGCATGGCGACTAAGGCTTGGCCTTAGAGCTCATCGTTCTGGGGTGTTAGACTTGGAGGATTTAGTGGTTAATATTGTAGAAGGTTGTAGGCAGGTAGCCATCAACATTCTGCTGAGTTTATATGAGTATTCAACTGTGGCCGTTTTCGGGGCAGCGAACTCGAAATAAAAGAGATTCTGAGTCAGCTTCGATCTTTCAAACCCTGAACCTGCCGTTAGATCCGTTAGCACCATGAGCCTGTAGAACAGCCTGAACAAATTCTGTGGCACATCTGAGCAGGCAAGCATAGGCGCTCCATATAAGCCCTCTAAATCCTACTTGGAGGATCATGGGACTTAGTAATGTTAGTTATACGTACCTTAATTGGGGTCACAAGTATAGTTACCCTATTTATAGTTACTAAGTCCCATGATCCTTTCAGTAGACCTTGAAGCCAAATCCCTTCAGCCAGGCTCTGGCATGGGACGGCTCCTGGGGCAAGCTGCAGGACACATACGAGAAGGACGGCCCGAGCTTTGTCTGGCTACTTCCTTGAGGACCAATATATATATATATATATATATACACATATGGTTAAGGGATCTAGGGTTAAAGGCAGCCTTTGAGCCAGCTTTTAGCCTATACAGGGCCTTAGACTCCGCTAAAGATCTCATGCAATGATCCCTATACGTGGTTCCTTTAAGGGATCTTCTTTAAGGGGCTCATTTAACAGTGGTTGTAATACCTAGGTTCGATCATTATGCGGTTGTTAGCAATTCTATCCGGTACGATATTGCTAGGTATTGCTGTTGGGGGGTGTGGTGCAGTTGGATACCCCTTCCAGCCGTATCCAGACCCGATCTTCTCCGCTCCCCCGCAAGTCGTCCTTGAGCTCCGATACTGCGATGTCATGCGATGTCGGTTCATGCGATGCGATCTTCTGAGATGGGGATACGGTGCGGTGACGATGCCTGTTCGATGTCGGTATATGTATTCCCAGACCCCCGGGAAGATCTAGAAAGTAGATCCCCTAATTTGAGACCCTATACTACTAAGGGTACTTTATAGGAACCCCCATTAAGGGATCTACTTTTTGGATCCTCCCGGGGGTCTGGGTTGTTGCAACGCCCATGTTTAAAGCAACCCATTAAGATTGTTAAAGGAATCCTGAACCTTATAAGCCGAAATGGGATATGAGCCACAAGCCCTCTTCAGGGTTGTCCTTGGAATCGTTTTAATTTCCCCTGCTATTCTGTAGAGAAGCATAATAATAGATAAATGTCAAAGGGCTTGAAGGACAACTCAGTCTTAGGTTAAGGTCTTTCGTGCTTAGGATTCGGGCCGAGGGTTTAGAGCGGCATGCATCTGAGTGGTTTGCCCAAGGGGACCGGTACTAGTACATGTTAAGTGGACCATATCCCTTGTCGTTTCGTAGTGCTGCGCTACCCTTGCCCCGAAACCCAAACTGAGATCAAGACCGTGACGTGCTTGCGAGGCAGGCCTGAATAACAGCTTGGGTCGATTCATAAATGCAGCCAGATACTAGGCACCGATTCCTCGTATTGGTTTAACCTAGAGTCCGATTTATAAGTAGTTTGTGGACCCCCGAAGGCCGCAATCTTAAATTCGCACACCCTGAATCCGAAGTCATAAAACCTAACTGGTGCTAACTATGGTCAGAGGCATTTTCGCTGTTTAGGGGCACTGGGCTCTCTGCAGAATCCTAAACCACCAAGGCCGCAACCCGGATGAACCCCAAAACATTCATGCTCCAAGGTATTTGAAAGCCCAAAGCCGTGAGTCCGCAAAGGCCTAAACGCCCCGATGCGCTTCGCGTGCCCCGAATTCCCAAGCCCTACCTTAACCCCAAATAACCTACCTTTTTAGGGACTTTTCTAAAGAAATCATATTGGAAGACCCTTAAAAAGGTATAGGTTCCTTCTGGTCCAGGTACGCCCTGAAACCATAGAGCTCCAAAGCTCCAACGCCTCAGGAGTCCCAAGGCTTCAAGAAAAAGGAAACCACGGAAAGAATTCAGAAATCCTCAAGTGTACCTAGAAACCAACCCTTAGGGGACCCTTTTTATCATAAACCCCTAGAAGGAACGCACAATCAAAGTAAAAATTCAATAAAACTAAGAATAAGCCTCAGAAGACCTTCCCTACGACAAACCTTCACCAGGAGGGCTTCACCGGCCTGTACAGAGGTGGGTTCCGGGCTTCGTAAGCAGTGCTATACAGGGTTTCCTTCAGTGAGTCTCGCGCTTCTTTTGTTTTGGTGTCTGCCCCTGAGTTGTGTAGTATGTTTGTGTGTGGCTGCTGTTGCATGAAATGCCTCCTGAGCTTTAGGGGTGCTTGGAAGATCATGGGACTTAGAAGGTCAAAGTTTTTAGGGTGTGGGCTTAAGAGACTAGTTCCGGGAACCAGCAGTTGCTCGAGTACATGTGCCAGCTGCAGAGCGTGCACGATGATTCGTGGGAAGGGCGAGTTGCCCACGGTATGTGACGAACCGCACAGAGCAGTGCTTGCATCTGCAGTTCAAACATGCGCAGTATACAGCTCGTTTTCAGCCCAAGTACCGAATAGTCTATGATTACTAGTACTTAGTACCCTCAACCCGAGCACCCAGTTGCCCCAAATCCTTAAAATTGAACCCGACACTTATAAACCGTCAACCCTACTATAAAGCCTCATGTCGGCCCTCATCGAAAGTTCACTTTACCGAAGAACCCTCGGCCTTGAGGTTATGGAGCTAACGTCCTGTACAAGCTTCCCGCAGACCTTGCCAAGCAGCTTGACTTTGTGTCTTGGGGGCTCTAGCTAAGGATCATGTGCCTGGTGCAGGGGTTTTGTTAGTGTCTAGAGATCCGCGTTTCGGGGTGATGGGTTCGGGGGCTTGAGAGTTTGAAGAGGGGTTTTGAGGGCAGCCGGGTATGCTTGTGCCCATAGTCTCCTTAGGAATTCTTTTATTTTTGTTCATATAAAACCCAAGAGAAAATTAAAAGTATTATTATGATTATGGTTCTAAGGGGGGGGTATAGGTGCAAGGAGTTATGGTTGGAGGACACATCGTCTCGAGGTTCCTCGGTCTCGTTTCACAACCCCCAAACGCAAGAGACTCAGCACAAACCCTACAGCTCTATAACCCCAAAAGCCCCAAACCCTGCCAACCTGAAAGCCTGATATAACCTATTGACGTTGGTGCAAGCGACGGTTGACGGTTCGTTTGCTGTCGGGTTTAGGGTTATGGCATGGCTTCAGGGTTCAGGGTTTGAAGTGCTGTGGCCCGTAGTGTCGCGGCACGGGTGGCAGGTGCCACGCAGCAACTGCTGTCAAGTGTGACATCTGCGGCCACCACCTCCAGGGTGGCATTACAGCTCCGCAAGCACGCAAGTGATAGAGTTCGCGCTGCGCAAGGCCTCCTACACTGGCGGGAAGGGCGGAGGCCGAAGCCCATGCCTTCATGGATGCGGCGAGACAAGACTGCAACTGCCCAAAAACTATGCCTCGGTGATGCCGCTACAGCAGCACGAATGGTTCTGCATGGCCTACTGCAAGGGCTCAACAAGCCGCCGACAGCGACAGCTGCTGGCACGACCAGCGCCTGTGGGAGGAGAAACTATGGGACCGTGACAAGTCGAGGTCTCGCCGTGGATAGAAAAGAGAGAAATCGAGAACGAAAAAGACATCGTCAGCCACATGTTGACTTCGTATTAGGGCGATCATGAAGCACATTGCGTTATTGTCAGATGCCTTGCCTCGTTCAGTGTGTCGGGCCTTTATATTGGCTCAATCAAGAACACCCAGCGGTTGGAAGTATCTGTTGTATCCAGTGTTTGGTAGGGAAACTAGTGGTACTTTCTACGAGTTGCACCGAACCGCTGATGGGCCTCTACAACTACCCACACTATTTTGGGGGCTCCTTATTAAAACTATAGTATAATGAACCCCAAAACCCTATTCTACTTATAGGCCCCTACATTATAGCAGCCTTAGAGATCCTTTATAGTAATTCTTATAGAACCTTTTAAGGGAACCCTATTCTAATTATTAAAGCCATTAAAGCTGATTCGTCACAAGCGGTCCTATATCAAACCTCGACCCAGGTTCCTGGCCTACGAAGCGCTGCGGGGCTCGGGGGCTGCAGGACTTGGGGTTTAAGCTTTATCTAGGTAGGCCTTTGGGATATGTTATATTTGCCGTTATTGGGCTGAATAGGACCCTATTTACGAATATGTTTCAGAGGCTTTCAAGGGCCAACCTAGTTATAGGGCCCCGAAGACTCTGAATAGAGCAGAAGGACGGAAGCCGAAACCTACCGAACCCTAGGCCCAGAAGGGTTAGGCCCAACCCTCGGGAAGGTTAGGGTGCCTTTGGCTTTAGGCTTTTAGGGGTTTTCCGGTTTTCGGTTTTGAAAGTGGCGTTGAATGTCGCGTGCGTGTGTGTGTGTGTGTGTGTGTATGTTCGTTGTTTTTTTTCGTTTTGGGTGGGAGAAGGGAGGACTGTTGTCATAAGATTTTGCTGGGGTTGTTGAGGGGGCTTATACGGCTCTGGAGTGTTTTTGATTGCTTTTGTGGTTTAAGAACTCTTGGTGGGCTTTGTAGTGGTGTGTGTTGTTTTACAATGTGTTGGGGTCGGTGCCGGCTTAAACTAACCCGAAAGGCCTTGTCAGTAAAGCTTCTGAAGTCACTGGTGCCCTACTAAGAACTCCCCCGTCTGCGGAAAAAGACTACAACAGGGATCCTAAAGTTAAGGACCGCAGAAGGACAAGGGTTTACTAATCAGGAGTCTCCATCAAGGCTTCATGAAGGCTTGAGCAGTTTCAGACCGTAGTACTTCAGGGGTCCAGGTACGAGGGCATGGTTTTATTGTAGCATGTTACGGTTCTGGGGCTCCTGGTGTCAATAGGCTGTTAATTATGCAGGAGCGGGAAAGCTAGATCCACACCTCTAACCTTTATAAAGCTTCGGGACAGAAGCTTTCCGTATGAACCTAAAAGCCTCAATAGTCCGAAAGTTTCCCTATCCACAAAACCTGAAACTTTCAATCCAGAGCCGCGCCTGTCTCCGAAAGCCCTTTGGAGGATCACTGCCCCCGGGCGTGGCCGGGGCTGTGGCGACATTGGCGGCCAACGCTGTGACCACGCCCCTGGACGTTGTCCGGACTCAGGTGATGTGTGAAGGCCGTCTGGCCGTCTTGTTGTGAGAGACTGTACGGGTACTTAGTGTGTTGTGTCTGTGCCTGTAGAGTGCAGGGGCCATTCCTTGCCATTGGCTGTTGTTCTGGATTCAAGCTTTTGGGGTTAAGGTCGTGTAGGGATGAGCGCTAGCACTCGAATATTTCGGATTAAAAAGCTAGATTTAGTATCACCTTTACGTCCCTTTGTAAAACAGTTATATATTATACCCCCGAACCACAACCCTATTCTACCTCTTTCAGGTTTCTTACTGTTGAATTTGGCATTTCTGTAAAGCCGAAGCCCAAATGCCTTTACTTGTGAGGTTTTCGGGTCACAGGTCGTGACGCAAGAAAGGGTCTCTACTCACGTGCTCAGGGGACTCAGGAAGTAGAGCGATAAGTAGTTTGCTTGGGGTCACAAGTACCAACCTAGCCTGCTTAATATCCTGCGCCTGGTTGCTGAGTCTTCTGAATCTCCCAAAGGCTCCATGTACCTTTATATTATTTACTTAAGCCTTAAAGGAGTCCTTGCCTAAGTATATACTATATGGGCACATGGAGCCTTAGGGTATTTGACAAGTAAACCCCCAGCCCCTGAACCGTAAGACCTCAACCCGAAACCGGTTTTCTGCGTCGCCAGGGACCGGCAAGACGTCGTCCCCAAACGCCCTCGAGAAGTTGAAGGACGATGAGTCGGCAAGCACGTAGTTCGCGCTGGGACGCATATGGTTTTATCTGTAACCTTTAGCGTTTTATGATGACTATTGGGTTGCCAGGGCTTTACTGAGTCTTTGAGTGCAATATTTGTTTAATGCGGCCTTTACGGGGCTCGGGCTTTATAAGTATTTCGCAGGGTGCATGCAAAAAATGTGCAAACTTAGTAGCGATTCAGCAATGTAACTATGGTTGAAAGTAGCTAGGGAACAGTTAGGGGGGACGTAGTTGGTAGCGAGTAAGCAAGGCAACTATGGTTGAAAGTAGTTAGGGGGACTCAGTTGGTAGCGATTAAGCAAGGTATAGCTATGGTTAGTTAGAGGACTTAGTTGGTAACGATTAAGCCAGGTAACTGTGGTTGAAAGTAGCTAGGGGGACTTAGTTGGTAGCGATTAAGCAAGGTAGCTATGGTTGAAACTAGTTTGGGGGACTTAGTTGGAGCTGTAGTTACTTCTAGCATTAACTCCACTTACTGATTCTTCTGATCCTCCTCGTGGGCCTTGGGGTTTCGGCTTTATCTCCCTGGTGCTTAGTAGGGAATGGGTTATGGGGACTACTATTGGGGATTACATAGGGGCTACTATGGGGATCCATTCCCCCTTTCGCTACTAAGCACCAGGCCGCTAGTTCCGATAGCCATTCGAGGGCTTGAGGGATTTGGGTAGGGTTGAGGGCGAAGGGAAACATGGAGCTTGTACTTGAAATCTGAAAACCCTAAACCCTTTACAAACAGCACCCAAAAAATGTGTGTGTGTGTGTATATAGATATATATATTTATTTATTTATATAAATCGTAAAGGTTTGGGCTTTGGGAACCCCACGCTGCACAGATCAGGCTCATAGTTACTGGGTTAGAATGCGTCAATATGCGGCGTGCGGGCGAGCGTCCTCCGCAAACTCTGCTCAAAATAGTGGGACCTATACGACACACACCTTAAGCACGAAATGAACCCCTAAAGGGTTTAAGGTTCATATACCATATAGGCATTCATAGTATATGGGTATAGGGCCCCTACTTTTACGTGTCATTTGGTCCTTCAGGCATTCAGCACCCGTAGGACGTAGGAACCCTTCTCGGCCTTCAAAGATCCCCTTTAATTAATGACCCGGTTTAGGGTTTAGGGTTCAGGGTTTAGGGTTCAGGGTTTAGGGTTGAGGGTTTAGGGTTTAGGTCGGTTTCTCAGCCCCGAGTTTCTGAGTCCCCAAATAAAGCTGTCACTGCACTTAAACACGCAGATCAAAGTTCATAAAGCAGTACATAATATTAGTCTCGCGAAAATCCTGTGTATGTGTATACATATACATATACGTATATTTATACATACTTTTACATATATACATATCTGTTTATTCACCATTGTGTATTTATATGTCTGTCCATCTATCTATCTGTTTAACTATCTATATATAACCCTAACCTCTAAGCCGTTTAAGGAACCTGTAAAAGAGATTAGAACTTGAGAATCGTCTGAAGGAAATACCTGTACTATTTTGGGGGGGTTCCTTATTATAACTGTACCATAATGGGCACCAAAACCCTATTCCAATGATTAAGGCCCCTACATCATAGTGCCCTTATGGATCCCTGAAAGAAAACCCTGAATGATCGATCCTTCTAGTAACCCTTATAGACCCCCTTCCCTTTCAAGGAACCCCTACTCTAATGATTAAGGCCCTTGTATTATAGTGCCCTTATAGATCCCTTCTAGCAACCCTTATATATGTGCCAGCATCCGCGCACCCCCCCCCCCCCCCCCCCCCATGGTAATCCCCCCCCCCCCCCCTGTGGTTCCTGTGGTTCCCCCCCCCCCCTGTGGTTCCTCTTGGTTTTCCCCCTCCCTTTTGTGGTTCTTCTGGTTCCTGTCTCCCCCCTCCCCCCCTGTGGTTCCTGTGGTTCCTCCGCGTGGTTGCTGCTGCTTTGTTGTTGCTGCTGTTCTTCTTCTTGTTCTTGTTCTTGTTCTTGTTGTGTGGTCGCCCGGGTCGGGGGGGGGGGGGATACCATTGGGGGGGGGGGGGGGGGGGTCGAGAACGCGGAGCGCGGGCACATATAGACCCCTTTAAAGGAACCCTTCAAAGGAAACCCTACTCTAATGATTAAGGCCCCTACATTATAGCATTATAGCAGCCTTAGAGATCCTTTGTAGTAATTCTTGTAGACCCTTTTTAAGGGAACCCTATTCTATAAAGGGGCCCCAAAACACTATTCCTATTCTAATGAAACCCTAAACCCTAAACTCGAAACCCTAAACCCTATTCTAATGAAACCCTAAACCCTAAACTCGAAACCCTAAACCCTATTCTAATGAAACCCTAAACCCTAAACTCTAAACCCTAAACCCTATTCTAATGAAACCCTAAACCCTAAACTCTAAACCCTAAACCCTATTCTAATGATTAAGGCCCCTACATTACAGGAGCTCCTCAGTTCAGGCGACTCCGAGCAGATCTGGTCAGGTGCGGCTTCGGGTTTCAGGGCACCGGACTTGAGGGTTCGCGGTTTAGGGTTTCAGGGTTTAGGGTTGAGGGTTCAGGGTTTAGGGTTTAGGGTTTCAGGGTTTAGGGTTTAGGGTTCAGGGTTTGGGTTTAGGGTTTGGGGTTTAGGGTTTAGGGTTCACGGTTTAGGGTTTCAGGGTTTGGGGTTTAGGGTTCACGGTTTAGAGTCCAGGGTTCACGGTTTAGGGTTTCAGGGTTTGGGGTTTAGGGTTCACGGTTTAGGGTTTCAGGGTTTAGGGTTTAGGGTTCACGGTTTTTGGTTTCAGGGTTCAGGGTTTAGGGTTTAGGGTTCACGGTTTAGGGTTTCAGGGTTTGGGGTTTAGGGTTCACGGTTTAGGGTTTCAGGGTTTAGGGTTTAGGGTTCACGGTTTAGGGTTTCAGGGTTTGGGGTCTTGTGGTTCTATAATAAGCATTTTGGGGCTTCAGTTTTTTTTGTTAACGGGCTTTAGGGTTGTTGATTTTGTGGTGAAGGGTTTGGGGCTTTATGACTTTGTGGTTTAAGGTTTAGGGCTTTGGGTTTGAGGCTGGCTCAGGTCCTGGTTACTTTTGGTTGAGATCGGGTGTCAAGAACTGCACACCACAGAAGCCACAAAATTGGAGCATCATTATCCCCGTGCCCTTAAGGTAGAATACGTAGAGGGTATCCCGGCACTACTCATCCTCAATCCATGGTTCAACCTTCTGGGGTTTACTGTACTTGGAGGATCATGGGACTTATCCAGTAAGGTTATAAGTACCTTAATTTGGGATATAAGTATAGTTACCCTCATTATAACCCTAGTTACTAAGTCCCATGATCCTTTAAGTAGGGTGTGGGTTGGGCCGGAGGCATGGGATTCACGATTTCAGGAACGGTTTGGTGTAGGGTTCGCTTCTAGGGCTTTGAATTTATGATTACCCTAGGGCTCCATAGTAGTTCTTTTTTGGGGTTCCTATTTAGAATCCTATAAGGTAATCCCAAAAAGGAACTACTATGGAGCCTCTAGGTAGCCTCAATTAAGGTGGCTGATAATTCTTTTGGCATGGGGTTCTCTGTCGGTTTTCAAAGGCTCTCGACAGGTTTAGGGTTTGGGCATAAGGCTGTGGGTTTACGGCTTAGGGCTTTTGGGTTTGGGTCCAGGGTTTTGGGCTTGGGTTTCTGGTAGGTCTCTAAGTTTTTGGGATATTTCGGGGTGTGGATTTCGTTGTGCGCCAAGGGGTTGAATTCCAAGGCGCTTTCTGCTTTCGCTTATTATAGGGACCTTGTAATAATTACCTATACTATGTCGCGGGGGGTTCCTTATTATAACTACATAGTATAACATAGCCCCCAAAACCCACTTCTAATTTTTTAAGGCCTACATTACAGAGTCTCAAGCCCGCTCGTCCGAGCAGAACCCTGTGACACACACCTTAAGCACCCATGCAAAACCCTCAAAAAGCAAGCCGTTTACACCCTTCTAGTTCCCCGATCAAGCCAGTCAAAAAACCAAACCCCGGTGAAAAAGGCAACTTTTGCTTAGTCTAGCCCCCCTCGCTTATGGATCTCCTCAAACGAGCTCTTCCTTCGGAGCGCAAAGTGCAGAGATCGTTTAGATGAATTCTGAAACTGGCAGTTTGAAAAATACAGAACCGTTAACGCAACCCTAAACAGAAACTTCAAAAAACAAGTTACAGCACCCTGTTTGAAAAAGAAATTCTCAACACACCTAACAAATTCCCATCAAGATTTGAAAGAGTACCTATCCACTATTAACTCCTATAGAACCTTTGAAAGATCAAAGCATTCATTGACAAACTCCTATGAAAGCTTCAAT